AAAGGCCGGCAACGTACTTGCGAGCCTTCTGGCAGTGTGAGTGTCCATGGGCGGCGGTATCACTTAACATCAGATGAGCCTCCTGCCCGTTTGCCTCCTATTACAAGCCAATAATCGTGTTTTGAGCCATTCGACGGAAATCGATTTTACACAAAATTTATTGCCCTGACATTCAAACGTGAAATTATAAACAAATAAACCATCTGAGTAGTAGTAACTAAACAATCTGTCAAAGAAGTTATATATGGGTATCAGTGGTCGTAATGTACGGCAGAATGGATAACTTGAGGTATTAAAGCTTAAATTGTGGCAATTCTGCACGAAAGTAGGCTTATAGTATAGAGGTTAGCGAATACGGTCGGTATGGGTGTGTGGTAGGGGAGCTAATCGCGTGCGGTGGGGCAGGGTGGTGGGCGGCGGCGGCGCAGCGGCGGGCGCTTGGCCCTGGCAGGCAGCTCTCTACCGGGACGGGGACTTCCAGTGCGGCGCAACCCTGATTTCTTCTCAGTGGCTGCTCTCCGCCAGCCATTGTTTCTACCAGTAAGTATAAATAATATGTTTTGTATGTCTTGCTTTTAAAGACAAATGTTTACAGTTCTCCTCTCTTTATTTATTACATTCAAACGAGTACATTAAATACTACGTTAAAAGTAAATATCTGAAGATCTCCCAATGGGATAAATATAATTAGCTAGGCCTCTAAGAATTATTGATTCGGTGAGAATTAGAACCAGGTTTATATCATGTGAAGCAATAACTATTGGTTAATACCACTTTACTTTAATTGTCTTTGATTGTGTCACAAATTTTTGGCACCTATGTATACATACATAGGCATCGAACTAAAAATTAATGCCTATAGAAAGAATGATTCACGTGAACTTGATAATAATCGAGTAATGTACTATACATTTTCGATAGTCGATGTTAGGTCGGTTTTTACTCGTAAATATTATGCTATTTATTAAAAAAACGCAACATATTCCCAGACATTTCTGCTACTTTGTTTAACAACCTCGAATACTTCGAGTCATGTCGTCAACATGATTAAGAGAAAAATATATGTAGAAACATTTTTAGTTTAAGGAGCATAATTTATAGGGCAAGGTTGCTTTTATGTTTATATTGCGTATATTTTATAATTGCGTATTTCTTTTCATAAAAATATTTCCGAAAGCCGACTTTTAATTTTGTTTACATTTACGTAAGAACCCTTTTATAAGTGTTAGTTAAATATTATTATATAATGGTATAATAATTGTGACAAGATTTAATTGCAGGTTGCTGCCATATCATATATCATAATAAAACCTTACTTTAATTTACTAAAATCGCGAGTTTAAATCTTATTTCGCGTCACATTTTATTTATTCACAAAAACTTTTTTTTTATTCAACGAATTAAGATGATTACTGTCGAATTATAATGACGCCAAAGTTTTGTCAACATTGCAAAAAATGTAATTTGTGCTTAATTAAATTTTTTTGCTTTATTGCAGTGCCCAAAAATCACAATACGGTTCTTTTTTCTCAGACTCTAATAGATGAATAACTTGGCTAGGTTGTTAATAAATAAAATTACAGGGCAACAGAAGCACATTGGGTCGCTCGTTTAGGTGCTCTCCGCCGGGGAGCGTGGCCTCGAGGTCCTTGGGAACGAATCGCTCGCGTGCGTCAAGTCGTGTTACACCCGCGTTATGCGCCGCGCGGCTTCCGCAACGACATCGCGCTGCTACGGATCGATCCTCAGGCGTTACACGCGCGACTTCGACCAGCATGTCTGCCTCCAGCCCGCGCTCAGCCACCAGCGGGACAATATTGCACTGTCGTTGGATGGGGACAGTTGTATGAACACGAGCGAGTCTTTCGTAAGTATTTTTTTTTGTTATATTATTTATTTGCTATAAAGGATTTTAATAGAGTAGGTATATTTTGCAGTCCTTTACATGTTTCTTTGTGGGTATTTGTATCTAAACTAAAAAAATCGTCTCATTTTCTGTTTTTTGCTCGAAAAAAGTATTTTTGATACAACGTCAACAATTCCAGTAGAAATTGCTACGAATTGTAGATTTTAGAAAAAGTATTTCACACTTTTTTTACTCGTTTCAATAGGAATGTCGACGGTTCGTAGCAATTAAGACTAGTTATGATAGAACGGGAGTATACGGGAACTAGAATAACTAGAACTAGATATATCTAATAAGGACTATTTACACATGGACAAGTTTTATCACATAGAAATTTGTCAAATTATTATATGGGATCTTGGCTAAATAAGGAGTTCGAAAATCTTGTCCTCACGCTGTTAAATATCTCAAACATCAGAAAAATGGTATGAAAGTTCTTGTGGCTATCTATTTGTAGAAATGGAGTATTTATATCTTTAACTTTTATTTATTTATTTAGGCACACACACATATAGGTATAGACAAAAAGAAACATAAGGAAACACAAAACACGCATCCATTTGTGCATGGCTTGGAAATTACACGCAGAATAAAAACAATGATTAATAATGAAATAATAATTAAATTTATTAAAATATAGCTGACACTTTACAAGAGGTGGAATTGCCGGTGATATCAACGGCGGAATGCCGTCGACGAACGCGTCTTTTGCCTCTCTACCGTGTCACTGAAGACATGTTCTGTGCTGGTTATGAGCGAGGCGGACGAGACGCGTGCCTTGGCGATTCGGGTGGACCGCTCATGTGCCAGGTATAACATAATTATTTAGAATACATACTTAATTATTTAGAAAATAAAAAAGTATCTACTCTAGTCTCTTTCTATAAAATTGTGTTTACGTTGTGATGAAACGAGATAGATGAGTAGGTACTTTAGTTAAACGATGTAATTAGACTCATTTAATATGAACCCTCTTAGAATTAATGTCTATACTCTGCTTTAAGTAGTATTTGGTCTTTATGTCGAAATGTGTTCAGGCTTTGGAGTTTAGTTTTTAGTAAATAGTTCAACACTTTCATCGTACTCTGCGAGTACCTACTTGGCTAGACAAAGTAGTAAAGCCAAATTTTACCCTCTCTTGTCTGTTCGTTGATATACATGTTTATTGCATTGAATTTCGGAACTAATTGTAAGAAACTAATTATCAGAAAACCTTATCAACTTACTGAATCACAATGGTTATAAATATTTCAGGAATCGGACAGATGGTACATCTACGGTGTCACAAGTAATGGTTACGGATGTGCGCGAGCCAATCGCCCCGGAGTTTACACCAAAGTGTCGAATTACATAGAATGGATCGACAGCGTCATAGAAACATACACGCCACATAATGAGACGGAATTCGCGATCAACGAAACAGACTCCAGCGAAGAGTTCTACGCTGACCTCGAGACGGCAGAGAACAAGCGGGCAGTTGTCAAACCATTTGACACATGTAGGGGCTTCCGGTGTCCTTTGGGCGAATGTTTGCCGGCGTCGAGTGTGTGCAATGGCTTTTTAGAATGTTCAGACGGAAGTGATGAATCTCAGTGCAGACAAGAATCGAACTCTAAATCCAGATTGAGCCAGTAATTATAAATGATTTTCGACTGATATTTTGTAGGTAGATTAAGATGTTTCATTTAGGGCTCTGTATATATAGATCTAGTTCCCGATAACTATCGCTTTATGTAACTATTTATTGAGCATGGATAACCTTTTCCGTTTGAATTCTTTTTTATTCCTTCAAATGGACGATGTGAGCCATGAATAAATCTATAAACTTTAATGGTTTTTTATTTCCAACATGATTGATATCTACATTAAACATGAAGAGAAGGGATTTGTTTGTTTCAACCTCATCAAAAATCATTATAAAATAAAACACACATTTCTTATAAAGTATTTTAATCTCTTGACAAATAAATTATTTTTCAAAATAATGATGGCATAATAAATAATTACAGTCCGTTAGAATAGTTGTTACATTATTAATCACAAAATTATTAAATATTAATTTTCATATGTAATACTTTAAAACAATACAAATCACTTATTAAAAGTACACAAGGTCCTAGATTAAAATATTTACTGAGAAACTGTCACGAGATATAAATTACAAATAGTAAATACAGTTTTAAAAAAGCCTTTCGGTTCAATCGTGTCGGGGTTAATCACTATGAAGCGACGAGTTGACAGGAACCCTTATGTTAATTCGAAACATTCACACTCCTTACATCTAAGCATAGATATACCAAAAGAGACATACACGAGATATCATTTTAATATATAAATTATATAATTATATATTTGCGCAGCTGTAATGATGACCAAATTAGAAATGGCTGAAATCTTATCCATCAATCGCAACGCATCAATGCACGCCTATTATCGAGGACACACATTGGTTGAAATAAAAATGTATAACTTCGTCTATCCTGCTTTTTGTTGTGTGGTCTTGTTGGTGCGGTTATAAATTAATAAATAAACGTATTAATATTGAAATTTAACAGAATACTGGCGGTGGTACCGAAGTACTATTTGTATCTCTATTGGTATATCACCTGCGTATCTAAACCTAAGACTACGCCGTACAACGCTGTCATCAAACTATGGGCTGTCCAACGTCAAAATAAAACACCAATATAAGGAACATTACACAAAGGCCAGTAAATATTGAAGTTATCTACGTATTCATTTATCTTACGAGTCGAAATGAGCAAGAAACACAGTTCGGTTCCCGAGAATATATGTTATACTTAAAGTAATGTTTGTGCATTGAGTTCGGGACGTCGAGTGAACTAGCAACTATAGTGCAAAATATGCATAAAAATGACTAAATTTACCTCGTCCCGACCTTGTTAGTATATTAGAAATACTTGCCCCGGGAAGCCGAGACCGCTATAAGAAACGTATTTTCAAACATGGAACTCGTATGTTTCATAGATAATTATTGTGTATTGGAATCTTAAACAATGGCAAAAGCCAGTCTTACTACAAAGTAATGTCAGAATATGTTCCAAGTTCAAAAATACCACAAATGTCGATGTACTTAGCCCTTGTTTTCGACGGGCGTCGTGGTCAGGCCAGAGGGCTTATTCAGCACCGTCTTGTACTGTTCTGGAATGGGGTGCTCCGTCTGAAAGTAACAAGGTTGTTTTAACAAGGAACTGAATTAACTCGTTGATTATACTGAATAATATATAAGTGATGGAGAACTTACAAAGTCACCATTCGCCTGTGGCACGAGCACATTCATCTCCGAAGACTTAGAGCTGACAATTTCCACATCGAGGGAGTCCTTTGAGAGGTAAATCTGGCAACCGTCCGTCTTATCAATCGATATGGTCGGCACCTTTCCTAGTACCTGAACATATAAACATAACTCATGAATATACAATAAGACTCAAGTTAGGGTTTTGCCTCATCCCTGAAGTCGAGCGTTCAAATCGCCAATGAAATTTTCTTTTTAATACAGTTGCTCAAAAAGTGGCGTATTGCAGGGACGTATAGCGTTCGGGATGTGGGCTATTACACACTCGTGCTTTTTTTTTACCTTTTCCGAACTAGTGCGTTTTCTTTCCCAACTGTCAAAATAATGTCTATTAAAAAGAAAAAACCAACCACGAAGTTTTTACTAAAAAAATTTCATAGCAATTTTTATGATTCATGCAAATATTTCTAAAAAGAAGCTACTGCTTTGTTTCAATATCAAATTTAATGATTTGATTCAATGAGTTAGGTTAGGTTTCATTTCATCTCATTAAATTTCATTTCATATCAATAAAAAATTGTACTGAAGACTTGGCTGTATGGGCATAGTTCCCTTTGCCTACCCAGAATGGGTGAAGAAAAAAATAATATCTGCTTATATTCTTTTACGGTTGGCGCCATTTTCCATAAATGTTCTTTGCGCGTTTAGTTGTTTGTTATATTATATATTAAATATACATGAACAATCATACGAAATTAATAATAGTTTGTCTCAAACAGTAAATAAATATGCAACCTAAAACTTCTCCAGTTAGTATAAAAAACTGTACCAATGTATATGTGAACAATAATTTGTATAAGAAATAAATGATTAGTTAGTTGAGATTATTGTGTTTTTATTATTTTATTAAATTGCATAATTTTTTCGCAACTGTATTAAAAATAGTTGTTCAGTACACGTGCGGAACCGTCATTGCAACTTGTTCCGATTGTCAACCCTCACCTTCGGCTGCGCCTCGGCTCGGGTAGACATTTGTCGAATCTTTTTGCAATGACAGGCTTTCCGCACTTGTAATGAAATATACTATTTTATATGCGCAATTAGTCCTTGCTCTAGTGAAATCAAAACATCGCGGGAAAAAAAATGTCTTGAACCAAAATATCGATGACAAACGTCTATTAAAAATCACTGAAGACCCATTTAGGTTATGTCGAAAAAATTTTAGGCTTTTGTGACATTAAAAAGCTAATTTATACTTTATTGCGTTTAGAAGATTATTCAATCAGATTCTGTAATGTCTATATAAGCGCGTGAGAATCCAATAATATAATAATTGAAATACAATTATTATTTATTATATTAATAATTAGAATAGTACTTATTAAACTTAAATACTTTATGTTAATTTTGTAATGCAATATAAATACCATAAGACATGTTGATTACAATCTTTTGTATATCAGAAGAATAAGGCCTGACTTATTGAATGGAAAACATATTACACTTTCATTCATTAAGAATCTTTTAATAGTATTAATTTAAAGCAAATAAATTAAAAAATCGACCTGATGGTAAAAATCGATCCACAAAGGCTTTTGATAAAAAAAAGCTAGATTTACAAGGGCATTGCATAGAATTGGTTTTCCAGTTCGTGAGTTTCACAATGAGTTTCTTTAAATAAAACTTTTTGTTTGATTGACAGGTGACTGCAACTCAAAGCTCCATAATCTTTTTCGCATTTCAAGTCACAATATGCCAAAACTCATAAAAAAAATGGTTTCAACGATGTTCTAGAATACTGGCCTAAGAGCCAGAGTCCAGATTCAGAAAAAGTCTCGACTCAAAATCACACAAAAAGCACTGAAAGCGCCGCGCCGCCTATTAAAATATACTGTAGAATAATACTTAACACGTATTTTCCCTAATATCTAATGCATCTATAAACTCCTTTCAGGTTTAAAACTAGAACTTGCCAAACAGAAGACATCTGTCATTTTAGTCCGTAATTTTTGATACAATAATATTTTTATTTCTAATGATTATTTATTAACTGGTGAAATTGCAAATGGATCGAGATAGTGAAATGCTCTTCACTAATAAAGAAGAATTAGTGAATACAGCATCAATTCACTATTACTGGGATCTCGTTATCAATAAATACGCAATCCTGTTTTTCCAATATATTATAAGTATTATTTACACAATATATACTCAGCTATCCCTTTTCAATACGGTGAGTCAATCTAATGCCGGCAGTACTTAACATTTTCCTACTTTATTATATTATTTTATCATAATAACCAACTTTTGTCTAGGAACGTATTATACATTTGATTTGTTTTAATAGGTACAGGTGTTTTAAATTCGATAATAAGATAAATGAAATGGTTACAGGCAGTTTTTTTCTTCAAATTCGCTCCAACAGGAATCTTTATGCATAGGTATATAAAACAAATTAACAGAAAATCACAAGAAATATCAAGACAGCAACAAAACGAAATTGAAGACATTCAACTTCAGGTGAAATTTAATGCTTATCACAAACTTTAAGATTACGGTTAAATAATTATTTATTATTTTCTTTATCTATAAAACAATCAACCAACATAATATTTTTCCTAGATACAAATAGTCAACACAAAGATGAGTATACAAGAGACAGAATACGCAGAGAGAATAGAAGAGTTAAATAAAAGTACCTCCCGACTTCGAAAAGGCCGGGCCCAAGTGCGCAGCCTCATTCAGTCCGATGATGAGATACGACACACTATCAACACTGGTAACATCATGGAGTACGACTCAGAGATTACGGCACAGTGTTCGGCAGTAGGTGAGAACTCACTTAGAAAATTGGTTTAGTTAACACATAAATTAACTACTAAATGTAAAGTTAAGAACTGATTATATTGTGAAAAATATTGATTTTAACCGTTATTTGGCACATACTGTAAAAAAAGAACAAAACAGTATTTACTATTCCATCCGATAGATTTTTGTTTTTACAGATTGTGAATCGCTATTAAAAATGCTCAAAGGATTAGAGAGCGATCAGATTGTAGAATGTGAGAAGCTCAAACCCGGCGACAGCTCGGACGACCTAGCTACTCAAGAGAACAGCATATACTCCACAATAAGTGAATCGGAAAGCACGCAAGACTGTACCATCAAGATTGTAAAAGTGACCAACGTGTATAAGGTCGCATATCTTAAACATTACATAAAACAGACTCGACTACGAAGGGCTAATAGAATAGCAATCCTAAAGAAAAAGGTGAGATTAGTCCAAATATAGTTCTGATCCCTCAAACTCTACGTTTTCACATCGTCATTGTCACAATCGTATTATTTGCAGATTGACAACGTAAAAAAGCTGCTAGAGGACTGGCAAACATCCTTAAACATGGTGATAAACAGCAAGTTAACGCTACTGAGTATGAACCAGCAATGTTTTATGACACCCCAGGAGGCAATGGGCGACGGTTCTCAAGCGAATTATAGAGACTTCTCAGAGTCGGATAGTGATTTCCGAAATAGTAATAATAATGATAATGGGCCTGACGAGTATAGTTTGAGTTGGGCACACAATGCCTATTTGCATCAACGAAGCATGAGTCGCTGCGATTATGATGTAAGTATTTTTAATTACAGTAATATATTCTTTATCTAAAACCAACTAAGCGCGCTTTCATTGTCAAATTATTAAAAACAACATTATTTCTTTAAACACAGGATTATGAAACGGCAATATCCAAGGAATCTTACGAGCAGGAAGATTTGAATGAGAAATATCCACAGATGATGACAGAATCTAAACTAACCGCCCCTGGTTATTTAGTGGCACTACTTGAGGAAACGCCGAGTCAAATGGCGATAGAGGAAATAAGGAGCGAGGCGAGCGAAGATGGGGATTGTCGCGATCTTGTTGCAATGTAGGAATTTTAATTTAAATAAACATTACGATGAACATTTTTTTATTAATCAACTATCCATGTAGCGATGTCTTACTAAAAAAGTATAAAGACAAGTTCTTGGAGCACGCCTAATAAATGATTTCAGGTAAAATTTTGTATAGCATTGTAAGTAGTGTAGTTTTCTGTTACAGCGATGTTACTCTTGTAATGAGTTAGGCAAACGTGCAGGCGGGCCAATTGCTAACCGCGGGAAGCTTGCAAGTACACTGTCGAAACTACTCGTTAATTAGTGTACAAATATGTTTTTTTTTTTACAATATATTGTAATAATATGTGTCATAATGAACGTACAATGTATATATACTTTTAATAATATCTAGTCATTTGATATGACGTATTGGTCGACGTAAGAAATTTACATGCTGAAGTTGTGTTGTAAAAAATATATATATCGTACCTTTCCATGTAGAGTAACCTCTACTAATAAGCAAGTTAATGTTTATGCTGTCTAATTTCGTGTACAAAATACCGGTTGAGCTACATTCCGGATCCACATAAGCCACGCTAGGAAAATTGGCCCAATGAACTCGTAATATTGTTCATTTTGCGAAAGGTAAACCTCAAACCGTAAAAGCATCTTTTACGAGCATTATTTACTTTTAATTTAATCTTCTTTGTTAATATATGTTTTGATTCCAACTGTTCGACGTTGTTTCTTATAACTACAATTATTTATGGTTAATTTGACCTTTTTGTATATTTATTAACTAATAATGACCCTCTAAAAACTTAACAATAAATAACGTAATCATTTCAGTCAACGATTTAGGTATTGAAATGATTCTGATACTGTGGCTACGCCTAACAATTTTTAACGCAGATTTTATCGTAACTAACTTTTTATATTTTGTCAAGTTTGGTAGATACATTTGAAAAGAGATGTCTAGTGTTCAACTGTAAAGCTGTCATTCCACATACCTGCATCTGAACAGATTGACAGTTGACAAATTCGATGCTGGAGACCAGGTTGTCAAAGACCACCGCACACTTGGTGCAAGAGTCTAGGATCACACCGTTCACCTTGCCGCGTACAGTAAGCGCCGAATCACGACATCTGAACATGTACACCATGTTGTTCATGTCTGCGTTCTCCACAACCAAGTTGGAGTTACCCTTTTGGTATTCCTGTAACAATATCATATTGTAATTACCTCTTAGTTAATTAGCAGTGAGAATATAATCTCTATTTTATGGAATGTATTAGTTACCAACTCGTTGTTGTGTATAAATATTTTATACTTCTATTCTGTATTTTTTTAAATATTATACTTGTAAATTTTGATGTTTAAAGGGGGCGTATAAATAAACCCAAAATTTTGTTTGTGATTGGTCAAACGGACAGATCGCGTTTGTGATGGGCTTAGGAAATAGCGTTGACAAATCACAATCAAACGAAACCATCTTTGTTTTACATTCTTACTTCCCTGCCTTCTAACAAATCAGACGTTAATACAAGCAAATAAAAGAACAAAGAATAATATATAAATGAAAATGCGCTTATATCATGTACATATGTAGCCCGGAGATACGATAAATAGCGAAACAAATCACAATATATATAATAATTAATAATCTATATCATAATCATTTTTGCCACAGTTCCTAAGTAAAAACAATTTTAAACCACAACCCATTTTTATAAATGAATAAGCCTCAGATTCAATATATTAATAATTCGCTGTTATTAACATTTCGTTCATTATATGGACATTGCCGACGCGAAGTATTTTTTACGAAAAAAGCATTTTACGCCACTAAACACTCGCCGAGTTCGTTCAATAATTTATTCCAATGTTCAGTAAAATGCAAAACTGTGGGTTTATTTTGACTTTGTAATTTATAGACGAAATAAATTTACGGAACTTTGTTGAGCGCTCTCTTTGGCAGGCTAGTATTTTACAATTGATTTCTTTACTACAGATAATAATCAATATCTTGATCATACGTATCAAACGTAGGCGCTTAATTGGGTCAAATAGGTAAATCAGCAACAACTTATTAATTAGTAGCTATTGCTAATAACAACATAGACAGATTTAAGGCTGCATCGACAAAATGAATTGTTGAAATCCAAAAATATTTTTATTTACGAAGCTCGCGCGAAGTCTTAGAACATCTTGGTATTAGAACCAAAAATCTACGGATTATCCAGACACGACCAGAAACCTGACCTATTAAAAAACAGATAAAAACGTAAACAAATATAAAAATCTAAGGCCAAGGTTAGTTTAGCCAAATTTTTTCGTCCGAGAATCGTATTCCGTTTTACAAATAAAGGTATATTTACAAACATTTGTGTTTCTTTCGTGATGAAGTCTTGGTTACCGTTATGAATATTAAACCGGATTATTATTAATATACAGTATTAAAGTATACGAAACCTAATAGAAATGATTTTTAGCAGTCGTGCTTAGTCATTCATTAAGAGTTAACGGTTACTTACTTACCAAATCGGAAGGTTATCGAATTATTGATCGGTCTTGCGCGGTCTTGTTTTCAAGAATCAGAGCTTAGATAAAGGTATAAAATTTGGCAGCTGAATTGCATCGTTATTTATGATTATAATTCAATGCACAACCAAAAATTAAATACGTATATATAAATTATAACAAGCACAAAATATTTTATTTAATTTACACGTTATTGCACTCGTATATAGTTCCACGCTTATGATTTTAATCCTTAAGTTAGTAACACGGTAAATTCTAAGATTCTAAAAACATACTATATTATTAAGATATAAGTATATAAGATTCAATTTATTTAATGCGGGCTGTCGGAGCGTGTTTATTTTGAGGCCAAAAAGCCAAGATTTCAACAAAGTTTTATCCATCTTTGTTTTATAAAGAGAAAAACTACGTCACTTTGAATTTGATATGAGTTCCCCGAGGGACTACAGCCAATAAATTCATGGATATTGTGTCCACAACTTTCTAACAATGCCATTCTTAGTTCCTTAGCAAAGAAACTTGAAATATATTGACGGGGATATTTGTCTTCATAGAATTGTAAAGTAAATTATACAGTTCCGTAAGTGGGCTATGTATGTAGCTGGAACATGAGTTCTATATTTTTCTTTATATTCGAACCCAATATCTTATATGGATGAATAAGTTACAGAAGACTCTTTACCCTTTACAGCGATTCTTTAGCATAAAATGTCAAGCTTTTTGGAAGCCCTTATTTGGAAATATTCCCCGTTACGCATCAAATAATTTTTTAATAAACACACCCGACCACAACGAACATCGCTCAATCCTAATTGGTTACGTGATACGCACTCAATAATGTAAGGACTCATTACGTCAGGGTATAAAACAACGCCTTAAGCAGATTCTACGATCCAGATGGTTTGTCTAAATATTAATTTTAATCGATTTATACAAGGAATTAGATACCTGAGGCAAAACCAAAAATTCGCGACACTTGTTTAATATCGAAACAATGAGGTTTATTCTGCAAAACTCTCCAATAGTACTTCTATAAATCGTTTATCAAATCACCTCTAATGCCAGACTGTACAGTTACAGATGCAATAAAATGGCAACGGAATTTAAATTAACAATTTTACGCGTTAAATCAGTAAATGTTTGTCATATTTGTGTACGTACGTGAGATGTTGGTTACCTAGTTAAGCTTGATAACAAACAGATATATATACTGAACAACAACATCTGCAATACATTTTTTTTATACTTATTTAAATAAAATATGTTTATGTACTTTCGGCCCCAACCGCACATATAGAGGTTAAGTACTTTCTTCAAACGAAGAAATTTCCTCCATTGTAAGGGTGCGTACAGACTATGTAACATATTATATAACTTGTGTTTTATAACACGTCCACATTATGTAACCTTGTTATTCAACATTATAACATAAAACAATACTGTACACATTAGAATAACAATGCAATATAACATATATAACCATTTTAAATAACAAAAGAAAAACAAAAAAACGTAGATGCTGGGTTCGTCCTAGCATACAAATCAATAACATGTTTTATAACATTCAGTGTCCACATTATCTGAAACATGTTGTATAGCAATGTTGTATAACATGTTATGTTATATAGTCTGTACGCACCTTAAAGGTAGAAATCAACGGGCTCGCTTTCGCGTTTATAACATTAAGATTATACGTCTTACAATAATGTAAAATTTCGGAATTACAAATTGTTTATTGTATTGCTTTCTTAGTCAACATTCTGTAATAATAATTTTTAATTCTATACGGTATACAGGAAATAATTACATTTTAAACGTACATCGGGTCTTATCCCACTTCAAGATTGAGGCAGAATGAAGCTCGAGAAAATGTTCTTTGTATTTTACGTAATATCAGCTTTTTGTTTTCTTCATCTTGACCGTTTTTTCCGCTTAGATGCTCTTTACAAAGTATTAGGTCCTTACATATGAAATTGACGTTTTGTCGGACTGGCCACTTTGATCTCAAATATCTCCTATTTGGTTAGGAATTCCAAATTAAATTTTTTACTGCTATTTACTCGCGCATTTTTGTTTTAAATAGCATGATTGATTTCATTTTCCCGTTTTAATTTATGGTAGGGGAGCCCAAGAGGGGATTTCGGGATTTACTAAAGCGCGGCAGATTAATATATAGGGGGATACCTTGTACCCGGTTAAGTACCTCCACAAAATATGAGGCCCATATATAAGGCCGCCCGTGAAGGAGACAGGATCAGATTAGTAAAAAAAAATTGACCATCAGAAATTCCCGAGCGCGTCAGATTAAGGTAGGGTGAGTTAATTACATCCTAAAAAGTGTATATTCCACTAATCTGACAATTTGAAAGTGACGTAAAAAAAGGGAGGGCAACAAAGTTGTAAAAAAAAACGTCATCTCGACATTCTCGAGCGTTTTTTTTTTTATTGTAAGGAAATAATTCAAGAATAATGAAAAATATATAATCTGACGATTTCCGCAAGCCGAGATAACAAAAATTCGTCGATAAAGTTAAATGCGTGCAGCTGCGTGATGCCTACATTTCCTTAAACCGATCGGAATCTACTAAACGGCGTTCTAAATATTTCCCTCAAAATTACATTTCCTGTGAATTTGAACCGATTCGGACCGATAGATTTTGAGAAATTTTGAAAAATCTTAAAAAATAAGATTTTTTTTTTTAAAGCGGTTTCTTTATCGATCAACTTCAAAAACTAATCCGCCTTTGAGCTTGAAAAACCACGTCGATCGCCACCAAGCTGGTCAAAGGCGGTTGATTCGTTCGAGAGATATCGTGAACGAAAGAAACCCGAAAAAGTGTTTTTTCGGGATTACTCCGAAATTTGTGGTTCGATCAATTAAAATTGCAAAATTACATATGAGGATGATAAAACTGCGTCGAATGCCGCAAACCGCGTAAAAATTGCTTGATCCATTCAAAAGTTATTGCGGTTTGAAAATTCCAAAAATAGTGTTCTATGAAACTTCTATCAGACTTTCGAGCTGGGAGAGCTCAAATGCATAGAAATATTATTTCTTTGAACTCAGCGAGCTCAAAATATCAATTTTAAGCGCCCAGGAATGGAATTAGCGGGAAGTTGCAGGGATGGCCCTTTAGGTGAACCGTTTTTCTAAATTTTTTTTTGTCAGATCAGGCGAATCCCTCTAGATAATCGTCAGATTATGAGACAGTACGTTTAGAACATAAAGATGAACCACATATATCTTAATCTGACGCGCTTGAGTATTTCAAAATTGCGATTTTTTTTTGCAAATTATGAAAATGGCCGTGGGTTTGCGTCCCATCGAAATCGTCAGATTAGTGAATGAGAGCTTTTTTTTGGTGCACTTAACACTCCCTTAGAAAATCTGACGCGCTCGATAATTTTTATTTTTTTTCATTTTCAACCCTTAAATACAACCACCCGCATCATGCAAACGATCAGATTAACATACGTACATTATTAAAAATACGTAGGGCATTGATGCTATCAATATCTGACGCGCTCGAGGATGTCCATGCAACAGTTTTTTTTTACATATTTAATAATCTATAGCCGCTTCCCCCACCGATGAAAAGGTATATATATCATATAACATTTTTTTCTTCTTATTATCTAAGCTTTGCATCCCAATAGGTCTCTACGACGCTCGAGTAAATCCCCATTTAGCATCGTGGGCTCCCCTACCATTATTTTCTCTGCGTCACGCTACTTATAAAATCCGCGTTTATAGTCCGCTCAGACATGAGCTGCCGATTAAAGAGAGATTTATATGGAAAACATGAAATATCGCGTTATTTACGAGTACGAGTTCCACCGTGGCACCAGTGCTGCAGAAACAACTCGAAGTATTAATGATGTTTATGGCGGCGGTGTCGCAAAAGAAAATACAGTGCATTTTTGGTTCCAACATTTTCGTTCTGAGAGATCGCAAGCCATTCAACTAAGTCTCAATACGCTTTATAAATTTCACCCCAATTTTTCGTATAATAAATACACTTCGGACATAATTCGCTTTGTAATTTCTTTACCAAAACTACAAATAACCCCCAATTCTGATATAATAAGAAGTATGCCAGTCTCCCAAGGATAAGTTTAAATTGCCATGATTATTTATCGCATTTTTAATTTTACTAAAATTATTTTGCTATCGACTTGCTACCATCCTTCTTAAATTAAGGGTTTTAACAGTCTTTCTTATTCATAACCATAGGTACCATGACCCTTGGTTGGTTCATTTAAATTATGTCTCTTGACAAAGACCCTAAATAACTACATATTATTTTAGGCTTACAGTACGTATGTAATCTAATATACAAAATTCTCGTATCACAATGTTCGTTCCCATACTCCTCCGAAACGGCTCGACAGATTCTTATGAATTTTTTAATGCATATTCAGTATGTCTGAGGATCGGCTACTATCTACCCCTAAGTGATAAGGGCTGTCCACCCCAATTTTTTTTTCCTTTTTTAGACAATTTTTTGTTTTTATTTTTTTTTATGATACAGCATACAAAAATACATACAACCCTTAATTTTCACCCCTCTACGATCAACCAATTTTTTATTTGTTAATTAAAATCTTATGACTGAGGATTATATAGAGAAAAATTCACAGAAAACCCTAAAAAGTTTTCATTCCAGAAAACCGAACAGTCTCTGGGGTAGATAGCAAAATGCTTCATGTTGTATGTACTCAAAAGGTAGGCTAAGTAAAATCACACAATTTAAGAAGAAACGAAGTTCGCGGGGGCAGTTAGTATATTCATAAATACAGAAATCTGAGGCCCAGACCTAAGGACCTACCTTTTAGAAAAAACAAATGATTACGAAACAGATAACGAAGTTTCAGGCTCAAACCTAGAAGGTTGTAGCGCCACTGGTATTTTTCAATATATATTCAAAATACTTACAATGAGCCATTTCTTGCCGTCCCGAGCGAAGATGGGCGGTTTGTCTGGTAGGGCTCCGGCACCGGGAGTAGGCAGAGGCTTGGCTGGTGCGCCTCGGGGCGCAGCTTTAAAAGGCGCAGGCCCCTCTCTCAGCTGGGGATTCTTGTGGGTCTGCATCTCTGACGTCACTTTGCGGAGGTCTGAACAACATGGTTCAATTACTACTTGGGACAAGGTAGTCTATATTCTATGGAATTTGCTAAGAAATATTGTTATATTTACCATTTACTACAGCCTTAAAATACGTACTTGGTGGGATTTCAAAAATTATCCCCACATTAGTTTTGATATGCGAACATATTATGGACATATGTATTTATTTTCTTTTTAAATGCATTCAAATTTTTATTTTAAGTTGCTTTCGTTTCAAATTCAATGCAGTATAATATTCCTCTCAGCTTCGTTATTAGCCTTTAAAAGTTGAAAACTCTCTCTGCATATTTCAATACCACTTTCAGTGCAAAAAATACATTACTAAAACGAATTATGGAAGCCAAATATGGCACAAAAATAGTGATATTAAATAGCCTATTTATTTGAACTCGAAAACAATTATAATGGAAATGACGAATTATATTTTAGTCGTGAGTTTAAATTAGTATTAATGGCTACAGAATTAATTACATTAATGTAACAATGGAAAATATTAAAATGACGTAGTGATAATATATTAGTTTGTATTTAAATAAAGAACCATATTAACTTACTATTATTATTCACAAATTTTAATTACTACTTACATATTTTCATTCTAAACTTTGAATGATCACAGACAGTAAATATGGGTTTTGATTTAATAGTTACTTGTAACACTTTGCGATGTATGCCCCACTTTAAATTCTTATTCTCGGTTAGCAATTTATTTCTTGAGCTGTTTAAGACCTAATCGATGTAGTCAAAATTCAAAAATCATTTAATCATGTAGGTAACACATTGTACACTTATGACTTGTCAGTAAAGAAATACATATTAATGCTTCTAATTTTACATTTAGTGTCATTAGATAATAACCTAGTTATTGCTTATATTACTCGATGTTGATCGAATTTAAATTGTATGCAAATAAGATAGTAAACATACTGCTAGTGATTCCCTCTCCACGGTTTATCTCGGCGAAAAGTGCGCTGCGATCGTCAATAGCGAGGTTCGAGAAGTTAACCTCGGGCATCGGGGGCGGTGGCAGGCCCCCCAGGTGGAGGTGGAGGTGGGGCTCCACCCTTTCCTACATGAAAAAAATATTTAAAAACCTCAAACAACTCATTCGCCATGTGACTCACGCTCGATAAAACACACATAATCTAGTTTAAATTACGGTTTTAACAATTTACTCAATAAAGTTAACAATTAGCTAACAAAAAAACGAGGTTACTGACATCATCAGGATGAAACCAGAAAACACGTTTTTTTGAACTCCATAGCGCTTCGCTCCATTTTCTCGCGTATATATATTTGTTTCATACATCGAGCGCCCGTCCGCAGTATCTCGATTAGTTGAACGACTAGTCGGTCGATTGGTTTAGGTAACGGAGACACTTTAAAGAGGACAGACACATAAATCTGTTCTATCTGCTAGGTTACGGCAGTTCACACAATAATCAAATCAAAAATCAAAATACGTTTATTCAATTTAGATGCTTCTTAGAGCATGCTTATGAATGTCAACAACGTTTACAAAATTCACGAAAGAGCAAGACTACGCCATCCGTTCGCAAAACTACCAGGAGGCCTTGTTCTGAGAAGAACGGGCAAGAAACTCAGCAAGTTTTGCCCTAATCACAACGGAACTACTGATGTACAAAAAACCTATACTGGGCATATGGTTCCAGGGGGCCGTTAAAAGCAAAATTATTCAACCAGTTATAGGAATATTGTTGATTTTTTAATTATTAATTTATTTATTTCATCACGCCTTTTTCCCTAATTGAAATAAATACACATAAAGGGACATACATCCCTCGCTTCATCCACTATTATAACATTCACGATCCATGCTCGTCGGTTATGGCTATGTAACTACCTGGATTTGAATCTGTATGACCTACCTTGACTACACAATTCATTTTTAACTGCATAATAAAATTTCTAGACGTTGCTAGTTTGTAATATTACCGTAAAGTCTGTTGGTTAATGTCACGTCACGGTTCTTAATTACTTTTATTCACTGCCTATATGTAACGGAATATTTGGATAACGGCGTTGTAATTGGTTTTCGAGTAAATGCAAATTCTTAGTAATTCTTACATAATACACAATACATATTTAAGGATTTAAAATAATACTCACGGATATAAAAATAAAGATCAATGTGTAACGCGTTTAGCAAAGGCAGTTCTGAAGTTTATTAATTTAGTTTCACTGTCCCATTTATTTTGTTCTTTTTGTTTATTACTTTTTTAAATATATTATTACTTTATTCGGTTACACTATAATATACACATAATATATTGTAAGATGGGTTAAGCTGTCACAGGGTTTGGACCCACTGTGTCAAGTTAATGTTTCCACTGTTGCGAAATTTTTGTGTGACGGCAACTTAAAGCCGTAAGCCACTATTTTTGATTAAAGCCGAATTTACATTACGAAACTAGTGTTATGCATGTTGGAATGAGTTTCATGAAAATAGTTGCAGCACGTGTGAAACTACTTTAACAAAAAATAATAGTGTCGTGAAATCAACAGTATCACCAACGACATGGCTCTGTCAACATCAAAGCTTCATTTTGCGATGCAGTTTTTAGGCCGCCTCTCTAGCATCTCTATTTTTATATTGAGGGTGTTTTGGATCCCAAAGACACTCGTTACGCTGGTATTCGTTAATGAATTTTATATTTTTATCAACTGACCAACGTTGGTTTGCCATTTTGGCGGTCATTTAGCTGCACGATGCACTCAAACACACACGTCTGCCCTGTGCAAATGCTTTCGCGACACTAGTTTCGTGTCGCGTTTTCATCGTGAAAGTAGTTGCGTGACATTAGTTTTACAAAAAATATGCGCATGGCACGAAATTTATCCAGTGTCGCGAAACCGATGCATGCATTATGAAACTGTAAATTTACACGTGAAATTGTTGATGAAATTTATGTCATTAAACTAATTCCGAGCCACTAGTTTCGTAATGTAAATTCGGCTTAAGGTTGTATTTCTTTTTTTTGTGTAAGCAACTTTAATCAAAGTATTTTCTTATTTAAATACAAAACAACAGTTGCATTCGCGAAGCTTAGTTTAAAAGCTTGTATTTCACAAACCTGTAAAAATTAATTAAAAACTTTATCGTACGGAATTCGCTTTAGTTGCATAGTAATTTGTGAATAGTCTTATGCTAATTACTTTTGCTTATTCATAAAACATTCAAGGGAATTTTCAAGAGATTTTAAACGTTTCAACCGCGTTTTAATTCCCAACACGACATTTGCGGCACATTACGTAATGGTTTTATTTAAAAATGTTTACATTTAGATCAAGATGCTTTTAATTATATTAGAAGTTTTGTTTAAAACAGTTTAATATGACACAATGTATTCTATTTGTGCTCAATAGGTTTTAATTTTAATATATAAATAAGTCCAGCCTGTTCAAAGACATAACTCGAGAACTGGAGCGATTGCATGGTTTTTGATTTGTTACCATCCCGAAACACAAAATGTCAATGGGGTTCGTAATTACGTTTAATGTTGCGATACAGTAAACTCGTCCCTCGAATGAACGAACGTATTTAAATATCGAATGTCGAATCGACAAGATATATCCACAATATTTGGATAATGGCGTATTTTACATTTTATAAATGTAGAATAATTTCATAAATGAAAAAGGATTGACATATATATTATGAATTTGTATATATGCGTGCAGTAAGACGCTGCAGCTTATTTCTTTTTATTTCTTATGAAAGTAGTGAACTTAATATTGATTTTGTATTAATAAAATCATAAATTAAGTTGAGCTTATTCGCGACATTCATTGACTGTTAGGCGAAGTACGCCGGGTTTCTTAGTTAAAAATATATAATGATAAATATCGTTTAGTAATTAATTTAAAATTAAGTACTCACCAGACCAAACAAGACCTGTGGTGTGGTACTGTTTCACATAGGCCTGCAAATCCGATAAAAGCTGCACCCATGTACGACACCATTCTATGTGTGTCTTATCCTTCTCCTTCCAGTCCTTGAGAACACGGTTCGTGTAAAACTGGCCAGCGTCATTCATCTCCTTGACGTATGGTGCCGGTGTGGGAGATATGGCGACCCATCCCAGTGCTGGTATACTTTCGGAAATCGCAGACAGATGGTTAAAGTAGGTAGACACCCTGTTCTTTTCGCGGAACTGTTGGATAGCGGAGATCTTCTCACTGGTTGGCGACAATAGTTGCATCTCTTCTCCCTGGGAAGGTTTGCTCCGAGAGGCGGCTAGTTGAATGTAGCCATATTGAGCTCTGCAATTGTAATAGATTTTCAAATCTGTTCTGCAAGGCACAGCATGTTGATTGATGAATGTGTGATTACAAATAAAACGTTATTTATGTACAAACTAAAGCTTTTTTTTCTGTTACTAAAATATAAAAAATGTCTTAGTTCAGTGAAATATGATTTTAAATCTAATGTTGATATAATATCTAATATATAAAATTCTCGTGTCACAATGTTCGTTACCATTCTCCTCCGAAACGGCTCGACCGATTCTTATGAATTTTTTATTCAGTAAGTCTGAGAGTCGGACAACATCTATTTTTCATCCCCCTAAATGTTAAGGGTGGTCCCACGCCTAAATTTTTATTTTTTAGACAAAACTTTTTGTTTTAATTTTTTTATTATACCTACAGCATATAAAAATACATCAATCGTGTATCGGACACGATATATACGATCAATCCCTATTTTTATGATAGTAGATATTTATTCTTATTGAACTAAAAAAATGTTTCCTACAATAATAATATACATGACAAAACGACGTTTGCCGGGTCAACTAGTATTACAATAAAATTTAAAATACTCACTGGAATGCCTCGTTGACGAGTTTTGCATGAGTGGCCACATCGCCACCGATTTTTTGGGACAGCTCAAGGTATGTCCGCAGGGGTCCCTGTTAACAGATTAAGTAAAACTCATTTTGACGTATTTATCATCGTCGTCCTTTTTGTAAAATATATTGGCTTAAGACATTTCTGCTCAGACGGGACATAGACAGCGAAGACTGTCGAAAGTTGTTGAAATTACTATCCGAGTGCAGTCTCCGGCACTTCAGCATTTTTAACAGCATCTTCCGTATTGTATAGAACGTGGACTATGGAACAGTACACATATTTTTAGCGTGTATTCTAATTCATTATATCTATATTATACCATCTGCCACACGAAAAACAATAATTTATTCTTGTATTATTTAAAAATACCTTCATTTGCATTAAACAAACACGATAATCATTTTAAGTAAGAAAACAATACCATTTTTAAAATAGTTTATATTAAAATGCTATTAAAGTCCAAATTTCAATTTGTCTATTTATTTGTTCGTTGTTCCCTAATCTTTTTAAAAACATCTCAATCGTTAGTAAAAAATTGCACCGTGCTCTATTCGTTGTAAGTATCGTTAAATTTAATAATAGAATTAAATTAATTAGTAGCTAACGATATTTAATCAAAGGATGACGGGTGTTCTGATTAATTAAAAGGGTTCATTTAAGAATCAAGATAAAAGTTACCGTCTAGTCCAGGCTGTTTTCTGGACGAAGCGAATTATAAATAATTGAACACAAAACCTTTATTTCTTTCGAAATTGAAACAATTACTTCTGCGACAATAGTAACTAAAAGCTGAAATGATTATGCCTAACGGAGTAACTTTTATTAAAACCCAACAAAGAATGTAAATTTTACGTGTAAACTTATATACTTAGTCGAGAATAGACACACTTTTATCCAGGTTTTCCAAACAAATTCCCCTTTGTTTTGTCTGTAATTATCAAAATTTGGAACGATAGTTCATATCGAAGATATTTGTTTACAAGAACAAAAGAGGAAATTGATATTTCAAACAACGGTCAATCGTAGACCCAATAACCACTAGTTACAGCAGTTTTATTACTCTCATTTTCCGTTATATCTTTCGAATTGCCTCTTAGGGGTTACTACTTTATTATGTTAGATATTGGCGTATAACTATAGGTACACAGGTTTACGTAACACACAGATAGGTGTTAAGTATTAAATCTAAATTGCTGAATCGCATTGCTGTTTATACTTAGGTAAATATAAGATAGGCCCTGTTAATTTTTTATACGCTGTCTACAAACGAACTAGCAAAACTAAAAAACGTATGTTATGGCGAAACTGTTACTAATATCAAAAATGAATTTACCTTCTATCAAAACATTTTCAAAAATGCTAAGTTCAAATCTATGCAAATGTGCGATCTACAAACATCTTTTACAATATTTATAATAAAAGCATTAGGAATAAGATTATACTTATTAAACTAGTATCATATACATCGCTATCATGATTTAATAATAATAATTCAGTGGCGCTACAACCCTATATGGGTTTCTTAGATCATTTTTGTTTCACGTAGGTGACCAACCATCTGTCAGACACATGTCGTCGATACTTGGATTTAAGACATTCTACGATGTTTTCCTTCACCGCACGAGCGAGTGTTAGATGAGCATATAGACAGAAGGTCCATTGGTGCACAGCCGAGGTTCGAACCTACCACCTCAGGGATCACGCTGATGATCATCACGTCACTATCAACACTGCTCTCGAGGTGAAGTTTTACTTGATAAAAATGTGTAACTACAAACCTGCAGTATGTCTTGATAACCGTTGATACTCATATTGTCCGTTGGGATCAGGACCTGCGGTGGTGTGACTAAGCACACGGGCGATGCTACTTGAGATTTGGGACTTGGTATTGGATCACTGAAGCAGGGCAAGCGTTCCAGACGTGACGTCACACGCTCCAACCGCTCAATAAGAGCCTCAAGATCCGCCGCTGGGTTTTCAGCCTCTGATGCCTCGATGCCTGAAATATTTGTATGTTAAAACGCTTATCAACCTACGAATAACAGACGTACGTACGTGAATGTCATACATTATTAGTTTGTATGTACTATAAGAAAGTAATTAATTATTTAAAAGGAAATAGAACTTTACAAATATTTAAGTTTATGTTTAAATTAAATTATGAAAATTCGCATCTTCTATCGTTTTCATTGTTGTTGTGAGATGTTAATGTAATTGTTATTCGCTATTTATTTCCGGAGACTCTGATGATTATAGAAAAATTGGCTTACTGTGTCTTAATCCGATAAACAATAAAAAATATAAAATTATACAATCATACTGTATCGCAATGTACGGATTTCATTTACTATTCTCTTGTGAATTTAAATCATTAATAATAATATGAAATGAAGAACCAACCCAATTACAATAAGTGATATTTTTCATTAGTGAGGTCGGCGTTTTATGAAATTAAATTATGAAAACCCTCAAAAATGAAAAAATATTTTCTCATCGTCGTCGTCGCTTCGAATTTAAAAAGCGTACTAGAATAATGAAAACTCCAGCGTATTTTCAATAAAACATTTAAACAGGTATATTATATATATATGATGAAAAGATTATCAAACAGAATTATGTATAATAATATACTGTTTAAACTTGACTATTTAGTCGATCATTCTGGAGATAAGGCACCCCTCATGTAACAGGCTGTCATAAATTAATAAGATATATAATAATAGTAAGTAAAGAAGTAATAAAATATAATTATACAAGGCAAACCATACAATCAGTACCATTTTCTTTCTCTGGCGTCTGTATTAGTACATTATTTACCGCGTCCTCCACGCTTTCAGTCGAATTCTTCTCTCGTTTTTCAAAAAGTTTAATTAAACTTCTCATATCTTTATTCCCTCGCTCCATATTTTCACAATCACAAACTTTTAAAGATAATTTTAAAATAACAATTCCATTCCAAATGTTCGCCCGCTTCGTTGAGCGCTATCAAATGACTACGATACATGCGATAATGGCTTACATAGAATTACAAAAGTGATGATAAAGTAATCAGAAACATGATTCTATTCCAGGTAAATGCGATCGAGATTATAAGAATTTTATAGAAGAAACAAACTTTATTGTTCTACAACAAACCTTAATAAACGAAAACTTTATGTACGATAAGCAAAGTTACCTTGGCGTTTGGCAAATAATTTCGCGATAAAGGAATTAGCGAATTGCCATTGTCTAATGTCTACACGTCATTACAAGGAGTCGATGACCCAATAATTGTTAGTTCAGTACCAAATACTGAGCGGAAACTAATCACGTGGTTAGATTTTATAAATCTTAAATACAGACCTAAAATAAACTAAGTTTATTTCATTTCTGAATTGTGCACAGTGAATAACAAAATGCAGATACAGAGGCCACGATATCTACACTAAACGTTTTAATAGACTTACAATATTGTTTTGTTGTTTGATTTAATATTTTTTTTAAAACGCTCGTTTTCTTATTAGTGTTAAGTTTAATGGGTAATCTAATTATGGCCAAAAACCCCGAGTAAACTCTATATTCGTTACACTGCCAAGGGCATTCATAATGACTACATTTCTTACGTCATCCATTCCTGATGACTATCTTTTAAACGCTACTAAGCAGATGCGAAATATTTTCTTAAAGATCAACTGTTTATTTCAATAAAGGACCATTAAGAACTTATATATACACAATATTAAAATTTGGTATGGAAAATCATATTAGAAACGATCTTTGATTCCAGACCATATTATTAGAAATTAGAAATACAATATTTTGCTATCAAGATACATTTGTTCTCAATACAATAACCACAAAACGGTACAACGTATACCACAAACCAGCGTTCTATTCTGAAATCTACGAGAGAACTAATTCGAAAAGATAGAACTCCGGTTAAATACAGGCTAATGACCAACTTTGGGAACGATTAAGTTAATGAGCAATTATTGGCAATTGCAACTGTTGAAAATGCTTATTTCCTAATTACTTTCTTAATCTTGATAACAAATTACAAATTGTATTAACTAAATAACAAATGAATTATTAGGTACTTTTAATAGGCAGACGAAGCGTTAAAAACTTGGTTGCCATGTTGAGTTTCACATGTTCAAGAGTCGGCCATAATAGGAAGGTAACAATGTTACTTCGATATAAGGTATGAAATGCTATGTATGTCACACGAATCATGCTCCTATTATACCCAATTACAGTTGTGAGAGGCTATTACGAATAGGTGATCTCGCAGAAATTCCATAAACATAATAGACCAGGCACTATAGTGGCTATAATACTTTTATGTCAAAATGCCTTTATTTTAAGAATCATTCACAATACTTATAAAATGTTTTCCGTTAGCTCTACACTCGAGATTACGAGAGGTGTTGGAAGAACAACTTTCCAGTAATAATCTTCGTTCTAAATTTAAAACATAATGTATTAGATGGGAAATTTGCCAGCCAGGTCAGAACATTGAAATGGAAACAAAAATAGATTTTCATAAAACCTAACTAGTCTTTAAAAATAACAAAAATAAAAATATTATTTAAATCATATTTTATATAGAGGCTTCATTCATTCTTTGCAGGAAGTGTAACAAAAGTAATTCAAGTTTACGGAGTTGAAAAACATATTTATCGAAACTCTGATATCCAGTAGGCATTATTATCTTATTTACAATTTTAATCAGAATATGGTTTATAAATTAATGCTCTTATTTCCAAAACAATTAAATAAAATAACGCCCAAATACTTTTAATCGCGTTTGTGCTTGTTAATTTAATAATATCGATTTGATCAATTTGTGATACCGACAATTCTGTATTTAATGGACCGTGATACATTGCATCCTGTACTGTCAGACGCATTGTTCAAAAATTGCAAATACATATAAAAGATAAGATAAAAAAATTATCATCAAATGACACGAGATAAACGGTGAAAGTTAAAATATATGTATTGAACTATTGAATATTATTTACGCATACTTAAAACTTATTTCCCGTTAGGAATCCTGTATGTTTCTGATAATTTAACAAAACTTGTACTACCAAAAATAGAAACAGAATACTTGTTTGTAAGAGGATAACGGTTTGCAATGAAGGAAACATAAATTGAAAACACGTTTTATTAAAAAGCCCAATAAAGTTGAACAATAATGACTGGCCCAACTCTACCTTTCAGTCTTACGGCTTACCATAAAACGTATAATATAGACATTACATTTTTGTAACTAGAATAATTTTATAGTTTACTTATAGGCTCTTAGTGATTAATTTAAAACTATTTGAATATAACGAGACTTACCGGTCAAGAATACAGTTCTTAATCTTAACAACAATACACAAAATTCACGAAATCACCAAACCGTTATGGTTTCATGCACTGATAAAATGAGCACATAAGCGTATAATCATGCGCTTGCGCCGGCTACCACTGGCAATGTCCGTGGACGGATGTAACTCTGACTCAAACCGACCGGCTGTTGAGGCAAACACGTCTCGATTCCAAACAGTATACGCTATATTATAAGTACACAAATGACTCATTCCTGTTATCATTTGAAATGACGCAAAACTTGTATTACTTTATTGTTGGGCTTATAATTAGCTAAATATTTAGGGGCGTGGCACTATTTTATTCTGAATTTGGTAATAATCGTTATTATTGTCTAGAGCAGTATTAGTCTAATACAGTGATTCCCAAAGTGGTCTATATCGACCCCTAGGGGTCTATGACAACCTGCAACCTGCTTTTTTTTCACACACAATCTTATAATATCGAAACATATACATTATATTGACTTATTGCTTATGTTATTTTATTTTATGTTTACTTAATGCTACGTATATTTTACATAACAGATACAAAATTTTATTTTGAGTAGTTTTAATTTAAATTCAATTAATAAATGTATAAATTAACATGTGTTTTTACTTTAAGTTTTTAACACTAAATTTCACTACAGTTAGAAATTTACAGGAAATCAATATCAGGAAATCAATATCAGGTAAGAAGGGGGTCTACCCAACACGGAAAAACATGGCAAGGGGTCTACGACACAAAAAAGTTTGGGGAACTCTGGTCTAAAAGTTAGGGGTGCGACTCTCAAACAGTGGCTTTGAAATAATTGATTTCTCTAACTTAGAGCGAATTACTTGCCGTGAAGAAAATATCTTCTAAGACCGCTGTTTACTAAACTACAGAAGTAGTAAATTTATCACAATGTATTTACTGTTTAGGATTTGAAATGTCGACTTAGGCTCAGATAAAATTATGTACATACTTAAATATCTTTTATTAATACATTTGATATGATACAATTTTTCTGAAAGCAATAAAAATTATTCAACGAATATTTTATTACGTTCATACCTGAGTCCGCAACAACTGGACCTAAAGGATCGAATCTTACTCGATGTTCAACAGCAGCTCTTGCAGCACACACTAAATCTGAGAAGAACCGATGCCTACGAAGAGCCAATTCATCACGACCAACAGGAGTAGCCGGAGGTTCTCTTGGCCCTTCCATATCAGTGGAGAGGGATACGTCTCTTTCAAATACATCGTCATCGCAATCAGAGTCATCCTTTGGTGTATAACGATGATCTACAAATTCACTACTACTTGTAGTAGATTTCAAAATGCCTGACGATTTGCGCCTTATTGGACGAACATCGACATTTGTTCTGGCTAGTTCCCGCTCCAGATTACTAAGTTCTTCAAGAGTGGTAACATTCCGGCTGCAATCGACAGAAAACCTTTTGAAATCAAGACGAGCTGTGTTTTTATAATCAACAGAAAACCGTTTTTTAATAACGTCCGGTTTAGAAAAAACGTCATCGACACTATCTTCATCCTCTTCTACTAAAGCAGCTTTGTCACTACCGCTAGTGTCATGCTCAGTGTCCTTGACGGACGAATCAGGCAAGTTCTCGGTATATGTTTCCATTTCGTCAATTTTTGGCTTTTCTGCAGCGTATTCTTTAGGTGTATTTGATGAACATTCAATAGTGTTAATTTCATGGATAATTTCAGATTTTTCTTGCGCACGTAGATCTTTTTCTGATTTTTCGATACATTCTTCTGGGTTAACACTGTTAAGAGAGTCCATATTATCAGATTTTGTTTTGTTTTTATTATTTCTCTTATTTGGCCGTGCACAACAACTTTTAAACATAATTATACTCTCAAACCACTAACAAACACCATAGGTATCTCATGAACAAAGCATAAACTAGTCAAAGAGCCAACATCAATATAAGAAACTTTCATAAATACTATTATTGAACATTTTTTAGTTAAATAATTTGTTTTAATTCAGCATAGGTGTCGTTCAGTTATAAGATGTAACGTCAAATAGGTCGGCGGCCGGCCGGACGCACGGCGGCGGGCGACTGACGGTCTGACGCAGGGCGAATGCGCCGCCCGCCTAGCGCATCCTGCCACCCTAGATCCGCAGAGCTCTCGAGAGCCCACAAATCTTTGTGTACACACGCTGCATATTTCAGGCCGCAGAGTAATATTGAGGGCACGCTTGTTTCTTTTTGAAGTAAAAATTAAGTGATTGGTTTTAGTAGCATCTGTAGGTTTAAATTCTTTTAAAATTTATATGAAATGAATACGAACATTATTTGGTTTATCTAACTTTTATCTTGTAGATAATAGATTTTGTGTAATATTTTATGCAAATCACATATAATCAATATCACTGGTTTCTTCAAAAGGATTTTAAAGTTTTTAGTATTATTAGATTTATTTTTATAAATAAAATAAACTGTTATAAATGTCATCCATATACACAAACAATTAATTACACAATTGCTGCCTAGTCTACAAAAAGCACAGATTGGTTTGAAAGCAGCATAGCAGGTATCATTTTGCTGCTTACAAAGCAATATTAAATAGTTTATGTTTCAGATATTTTAAAGATTTGTTTTTTTACTATTTTATTATAATAATAATAACAATAGTATTGCTGTAAAATACTTATCCCAGTACATAAAAATGTAAAGTACTATAAACACTAATAATGAATTGGCAATCTGGTTAATTTCTGTTTTACAGCTTGTACTTGGACATTGGCCTCCTCTAAGAGCTTCCACTCTTCTCGGTGTCTAGCTTTACATAGCCACATAAGGCCAGCTGCTCTACCTTATACCATATTCCCATATTTTTATTTCTCTTCCTCGTTTTATTTTGTCATAGGGAGGAAGCCATTTAGTAGCTTTTTTAGTTGTAGACTATTTTATTAAGACAGTAATTTTCTACGAAATCAAGAGTTTTTTTTTTGTTGTTAAGTTCTGAAACTGCATTCTTTCAAATTTTTTTGTGCAGATACAGATTCCATATATATATATATATATCAAGCTTGTTATGTCCCATATTATAATATAGTTAAGGTAATATAGTCAGGTAAAGAAATATGGGTGAATACTGGACAAGGTAGGTTTGTTAGAAAATAAACTTGTTGAGTATTTACTTTTATGAATTATGGTCAAGATATTAATATTACAAGCACTTTACTTAAAATTTTTAAAATATTTTAATCTGGTAAAGGTTATGGTAAACAACCTTTAAAATACAAATAGACCATCAGCCCTCTTTGAAAGCTAAATAACAAATTATAATCAATTTGTTATAAAGTTACTTTTCTTCCTTCTTTTAAATTTTATTTTGTTTAGTTTAGTATAGTTTACTTTTGTATCATACAAACTGCCACTCTAACATACTATAAACTCATTACACCACCAAACCTGGTTGTATAGCTCATGTTGTTGCACCTTTAATACAATATGACAAATTTGTGTGGTAGTAAATGGTGACATTATCTTTATGTTAAATTATCTAGATTTTAAAGATTTATGTTGCATGTGTTATGTTATAGCTACAGTCATCAGCAAATTATATATATGTCCTATATATTAACTAAAATTAAAAAAGGAAGTCAATAATATATTAAAGATTTTTTTAACAACTGTGAGAGCTTATAAAATAGAGCATAGATCAAATAAAGAAATAAGTTTAGTAATGAACATAAAAATACAGAATTTCTTACAAACTAAATATGTACATTAAAATTTAATTTAAAGCAAGTTTTATATTTGTTGCATTGGAATCAACTCTATTTCTCATTTTTTAAGTTATTTGCATGTGACATATGTAACTTTAGTTTTTCTGTTTTGTTAGACTCCATAATATTTCTTTTCTAATAGTTTTTCTAGATTCTAGAAATACTTTAAAATAAGTAATAGGCTGAAAAACTTAATTTCATGATGAATTTAAAAAAAAATACAAATACTGACTTAAAATTAGAAGAATTCCTGAACTCTTTTACAAGCATTTCTCTTTTTTCAGCTTGATAACCTTAATATTCTTTATAATTTCTATATATATTTATAATAAACAAAATATTTATTATTATTACTTCTACATAAATTATTATTTATGTACCTAGATTTGCCCTAGTTATTAATAAAACACATTCTGTGTAAGGAATTTATTCGTAATTGGATTATTATTCATGGACTATTCATTTATAGTTAAGGGATAAGTTAATTAATGTTAAGTAGAAATTATCTAATAATTAACATTCATTAACTGTCTGTAGGAGTTCCCAACCCATCTTAAGTTTCATATAATTTTATTTACCCAGATTCTTATATCAAACATATATAATTTATTTGTTTCTAATCAATTTTATGATGAGCCTATTATTAAAAAGGCTATGCTCTTTGTATTAAATAAAAAAAGCCCCTATGGAAAAAGAAACCTACTTATTCTTTGCTATTCGATGGAAGACGCCGTGTAAGCGTAGTAGGCAAATATCTCAATACTGCTTACGTGCTTTTATCTAGTCGCATTAGTCATAATTATTGTACAAGAGAATACAATATTAACTATTTAGAAATCATTAATTGAAACAGATTAATCGAGCGGGCGTCATTATTCTTAGAAAATCTAATGTATTATTTTTAAAGGGTGATAATAATAAATCACTCACCAGGGTTAAAGCTTCCGCCTTAGACGAAGGTAATCAAGTTGCTGAAGCTGAATTTAATATTTAACTGTTACAAAATTGTAAAAATCAGTCTTGTATAATTTAGTTATTACTAGTGCTAGGTTATTTCACCATCAATGTCAAATCGCCGTTGTTTGTATGTCAAACATACATAATAACAACTGTCTGACGTAATGTCAAATGCTAATAGAAGTTACAGTCGAATGGTCGAATTACATGTTACCAAAGACAACCAAACTAACATGACCTAAAGTAACTTTAATTTTCTGTGGTGTTTCGCACGACGATAGCTTATACAGCGCAATAGACTAATGCCTAAAATATTATTATATAAATAAAATATAATAATATAAATATAATGTTATAAATAAAATAGGTAATAATAAAAAATCTTGGGTAATTATTTTTTTTCTTATCAATAAATCAGTGTTTTTTTCATTTCTGGCACTGTATGATGATAATATTAAATGATTACCTACCCACTTATCAAAAGATTCGACTTTATTGTATAAATGTTATATTCGTTTATTTGTATCATTAAAAGACCAGGGTAGAAGCCTTTAAAAAAAATAAAAAGTGAAAAAAATTAATAGTAGGATGAAACCCATTTGAAAAGGAGGAGAATATTATAAAGTGAAAGGAAAAATAATTTACGGGCGATCTGAGGTTGGGAAGGGGAAGGGGGTAATTATCGATCCTGGTCTATAAGAAGTCGTTTGTTATCAAAAGCTAGTTAAATAAAAAATGGATTACAATAAAACAATTTATTGTATAATATACTTCACTACATGCTAAAAGCAAAAGCCATAAATATGAGAAATACTAAAACAACCACAAAATATGTGCTGAAACGCTGCATTTGAAGGCACCAATATATTGCTTTTCTAGTGATTACGTGACTTATCTGATACTGCCTTAAAACTAATCTATCCAAATATTTTGTTGGTTTAAACTCTTTAGATTATTAACATCTCAATAAATATTAAACAACCTGTAAATATAACAAGAACTATAAATGTCTTTTTCATAAACATGCAATATTTTAAATTAGTATTTTTTTTCTCTTCGTCATTTAATTTTGTGTGGTCAGAAAATGCACTCTATAGGTATTTGAGCTTTTATTTATGAATAAGAGTTAGATAGTATGTTTATGAATAAGCTTATTTGTATTGTAAATTTTTTTATGTATAAAATATTTCCCGATGTCTAGAGCTCACATATTTTCGGAAGCCATTAAAATAATATCATAAAAAAACAAAAACTCTTAGCAAAGTATTAAATCATTAACAGATTCTAAATCTGAAATAAAGTTTTTTTGGTATATTTTTGTAATTCTCCAAGTCCCAAAAAACCTAAACCATAAATCTACTTTCCACAAGGAATTATCGATGAATAGAAAACTATAGGAAAGTATTATGAAAAGGATTCATTAAAATGAATTAAAAAGTACTTTCCTAATTCTCGGATACATATAATACAAGTAAGCATAATATATACATACAATAGATTTTATTTTAATCGGAAACATCTATATAAATGAAGAATTTTGACCAAATAAAAATAAAAAGTGTTATAACGAAAATTATATTAAATTTTGTAATATACATACAAGTAACTAAAAACAAATAACAAATTATAATTACTAATATTAAAAATACATTTATTAAGCACTAAAATACACCTTTTCTTATCCACATATTACTACAATATGTTAATTTTGACCTTATGTCCCTAAAACTAACAACAAGCGAAAAGCTGGTATTCATCAAGAAAAGAGACTTAGATATTCTTGAATTTCACAATATTTTTCATAGCACATTGCAGCTAGGGGGGGGGGCAATATTTCGTTGTAATGCTGTTCAAACTTTGTGCGCGTACACCATTTTGAGACAGTACGTGAATAAAAAACTTATCATTGAAGTGTAAAAATATTATTTTTTATTTGCGACGAAACTTTTTATTCTTATATGGTTAATTTGCATAATATGCTTAAATACAACAATCCTAATTGCTACGAGTCGTTTTACAAAAAGGCTATTTTTGCTAGGTCAATAAGTTAAATTATTCTCCATATTAGTTAAGTTAGATTAAATACTGCATATCAAATTATTATTTTTTTAAACTGTACTTCGATTTTTACCGTCTATCGCTACTTTAAATGCAGTGTTTAGTTTCAAAGGTCCCTAATCATTATTTCTAAAATAATTAAAAATGTACATGATTTTTAAATTTTACTTACAAATTAATACCTATATAAATTTGATTAAAATTACCAAAAAATATTTGATCCTTTTTTTACTTGAGAGTAAAATAATGAAATGGATAAAAAAATAGTTTTACTAATAATGTGACAGTTTACAACTGGCATTGTCACGGGTTGACTATGTCATGATTAAACTGTCAATCAGATATTTCAAATGTCAGTTTTATACAGTAAACGTATATTAACATTTTATAACGGTCATCTGTAAGTTTCATATAGAAACCGAGCCTATAAACGCCTACTTGGTAGATAAAATGTCTACTAATTACACCATTTTAAAAAGTTAACGTTTACGTGTTTTATTCCGGTTGAATTCCGTTTTGGATGTACTTCAGGACAATTCACCGATCGGTGCGTTTTGTAGCCACAAGTCGTGAATGAAATTGTAGAGGTCATCGCTTACTGCGACCTGTAAATAATAAATTATATAATTAATATTAATACATTACTATATATTGAAAATTAAAATTTATTCACAGATAATATAAGTGAAATTGACGAGTATTTAAATCAATTTTTTTTTGAAAAAAAAAAAAAAAATACATTTATCATTTTTTATTTTTCTAATAGCAACATAAAATAACTCTTGGTTTTGGCCTTAGATATCTATATCTGTTTTGTGGTCAGTTATTTTTCATAATCAGGCTTTTGTGCCATACGCCGCCGATTTTGGGTGTCGGAACAACGGGGAGGTGAGGGAAGACAAGGGAACAGGAGCGCACCATCCACACTCTCTCCATTCAGACATGCCGGTCTCACGATGTTTGGCTTCATCGTCAGTGTTAAAAGCGCACATAGGAAGAAAAGGCTATTGATACAGCTGTGATCCAAACGCACAAACTCTGGGTTGAGAGGTGGACGCTTAAGCCAACACTGTCCATGTTTTTGAAGCTGCCCAAGGAATCTACATGGGTCAGGCACAAAGGGCTGTTAACCTATTTGTATATATATAAAAAAAGATCAAAGAAACGGATGTAATCTATAACGAAGACCTATAAAGGGCTGTAGATAATTATTTATAACTAATTAATTATATACTTATTATGTAATGGTATTTTAGTAGATACGGTATTAGGGAAAAACTAAGTTCTACAATAATTAAATATATTATTTTTAAAGGCTAATTTGTTGATACTTTTGTAAAAAATAAATACCTTATATGGCGTAGGATTCAAATTTCTCTTGATATCCTGACGTAGAGTTCTTAGCGAGGCCTGAACTCTTTCACGAACTTCGGACAGCGGCTTTGGTGCGGTGGTGATCTGTCCGTCTTTCCAGTATATCTGAATTATTTTAAATACATATATGCAATCAAAATTTTATTCATAAAGGTAGCACTTTTAATCGCCAAGTTAAGTTTATAAGAAAATTGTAAATTTAAAATCCTATAAAACTTTTGCTGTCATTATACATACAAATAACAGGTTCAAAGAAAACCATGTAATATATAAATTAATACATACATACAATTTGGTGTGGCTTCACTCATTCCATATAAAAATAACCAAATGCAATTTTATCACATCTTTCTCTTTTCATCTCAGCGTAAATACAATTTGATAGAATAAGACGAAAGAGTACAAAGTAGTAGTAACAGGAATGCACTAGTATATAAGACGCCAACGTTTAATCATTTTATTTTCATAGTTAGTACCAGACATAATTAAAAAACAATAGAATGAATAGGACAAATAATTATATAGTTTTTGGTTTTGGTCTATTATTGAATATTGACTGTTTTTTTTTTTTTCAAAAATCTTACATATATATTGAATAGGTCTTAAACGGGGAAGGGTATTACTATCAGACTGATAATTATAGTAATGGTTAACTGTAATAAAAAGAAAATTACAATTACTTTACCTTATAAAGATGTTCGACTTTACTGGGTATAACGTAGGCCCTCTTGGATTCTTGGAAGGGATGACGACAGAGTACTTTCTGGCCGACCTCAGGCGCCGCTTCCGACGAACGTTGCAATAGATCTATCAGCGCGTGACCATCCGCACCGAATAATCTATACGCCTGGAAATATTTACTATGCTTGTAGAATTCTGAGGCAAGTGAAACCATTTTCTTCAGTGTCACTAAATTATGCTGTGTAAGCCTTATTACCCAAAATTTACTCACTGAAGGAATATATAAAAAAATACTGCATTTATTTATTAAAACACATCACTTCATATAAATTTGGTTATTATAACTGTGTGCAGCTTCCCAGCCAGTGGGCTGTGAAATGTGTTTAAATTTATATGTAATACATGTCAGAAGTATGTGAATGGTATTTGCAGTGTATGTTTTAGCAAGCTGCTCTAAATATATGAGAGCGTGAGACATAGAACTTAACCCAATATCATACAACATCAACCCAATATACGGACCCCTAAGCCCTACAGATGTACCCTAACACATAATATATATATAGTCTATATATATAAAAGAAAAATGGTCTTCGTTTGAGGCTCCTTCACGCCTAAACCACTGATCGTATCGACATGAAACTACCACCATTCGATGCGAAATTTTTCCTTATTATGGCTATTTATTTATTAAATTCCAACGTTCCTTCATTTTTTTATTGCTGTTTTACTTTTATGAAAATTTATCCATACGGACTTCACCGCGGAAACATTCGGGGAGGCTTCCTAGAACCTCTAAACGTCAACATCTGTTAAAAACTCGATTTTCGAAATATTTAAATTTTCTTAGCGGGAAGTTAAAAAGAAGAATAATAAAATTTATTTTAATTCGTCCAGCAAAGCGGGCGCGAAACGGCTAGTAAATATATAAATGTAAAAATAAGCACCAAGAGAACTAAGGTAACAGACGGAGCCCTACGGGTAGGATCACATGTTCAAGGGAATTATCTCAAAGCTATCGGGCAGTATCACCACGATAATTAAAGGCTTGAAGGAGTCTTCGCCACTTTGGAGGAAGCGAGAAATGAATAAGACAGACCAATATGCAAACCTTATTGATTTATTGTTATAAAACAATACTATTAATAACATACTACATACACCTATTTACACATACATAATATTATTCGTGGAGCTGTTGGTGTATCGCGCACCTTCAGCAGTTAAAATTTAGAACAACCACGTCAGCCGTGTCAGCAGTTGGTCAATGTTCAAATAATACATATTTAAAATTACTCTTGTGAACTGTCGGTGTATCGCACCTTCAGCTATTAAAGTGTGGAACAGCCGCGTGCGCCGTGTCAGCAGTTCGTCAATGTTCAAGTGAAATCCGATTAAGCAAAAACCAGGGACTCGACAAATGAGCCTCCGACTCTTGTATCTGTTTCGTGGTTATTTATTTTCCTTAACAGACTTTTAATTAAGCCCTCTGTGCCTGACACACGCCGTCGACTTTTTCGGTTTAATGTATACCGGTGTCCTCACGATGATTTCCTACACGGTACGAGCGTGTGTTAAATGCTCACATAGACTCGTAGAGAAAAGTTGAATAACTTGATAATGCCTTTTTTTCGATATACTATCGAAAAAATGACTAACTTTTTTATTATATAAATACAAGTCCTCCGCCGCTGTTACAGAAATCTGTTTGTCTGTTCGCGATAAACTCATAAATTACTGCCGGGAATTTATTTCATGATTCATGAGTAAGGTTTAAATATGTGTTTCAAGGTTTGGACTTTGGGTTCGGTTGCCCGTTTGAAGCCGGGCCCAGTCAGATTTAATTATAATGCGATTTTACCAGGCCTTTATCATATCAAAAACAAAAAAATTGCTCCAACGAAGGATGGCATATGCGAAGTGTAGTTTGTAAAGCAGTCACTTGAACTGGTTCAACCTAAGCCTACCCAAAGAAAAATTGTTTCGGGCGACTAAGAACCACATTCGCTTGAGACAAAAAAATTGAAATGAAACTTTTTTGAAATAGTTTAAGTTTTGCCACTACGTGGAATAAAAGCTGACCACTGAAGTATTTCAGAACCGAAAAGAGAGTACCAGTTCTTAAAAGGCCGGCAACGCACTTGCGAGCCTTCTGACAATGTGCGGCAGTATAACTTAACATCAAGTAAGCCTCTTTCCCGTTTGAGTATTAATTGTTTATTAAAAGATATTATTAGTATTAATTGTTTAATAACAGGGCACAAAGGGGAAAGGTTTATAACATTCATATCAAATTGTTTCTTTATTCTTTCCGTTTATTAATAATACTTTGTAGCATAATTATTATATTATTATTACATTGACAAAGATAAGATAAAATAACGTAAATATACATAAAATATTTCCGCTTATCACAATCTTAAGCACAGGTCATAAATAAAAACAAATAAGAATAACCTTTCCTTTCCGTAACATTTTATAGCTAATGTTTAAAATTTTCAACAAATTTTAGTACAAGTACTACTTTTACTATAGAACATTTTAATAAATTCTACTAATATAAAAATATATTTAATGAAATATATCGAATGAAGAAAGAATATTTAAGCAGTGTAAATCACCAAAAATAAAGAATTGTTTCATCACTAGATGGCGGTGAACGTAACATAAAACGCGATATCGTTTTACGTCACATTTGGCATAATTCATAAATATGCAGAATAACTGAAACGACCAAAAGGTCCTGCGTTCGAATCTTAGGAATTTTTGATAGTGATAAACACATAATTGTGCGCGTCACTTATTACTATAAAATCAAAACTATATACGTATTACGTAATTAAGTAAAGCGTTAAGTCGCTAGTGATTTAATGATAAGATCATGAAAATTTAAAAGAAATGTTTGAATCGGGTCGTAGGTGGCAAAATAATCTTTTATCAAGCAAATTAAAAACATCAAATAATATATATACACGTATATTATCATGTGTCATTTCATTTATATCAAGTCATTCGCCTCGTCACGTAATTTGCTAAGATTTAGGGGGCAAAGTTCGCCCATTTATTCATATTTTAGCCGCCAAAGCTATAAGCTTCTTTTTTTTAAGTAAATATGAAGCAAGGGTAAAAATTATAGTATTTAAACAAATCTTACACAGATATAAACGCGAATGTATAACGCTAAAACATAAATCGACGTTTCAAGTGCAAGCAATTATTACCTTTAAAATAAACAATTTTATTTAAAAGTGTAGTCGCGTAAGTCAATAATTAGTTATTCTTACCTTTTTGTGACCGGGAATTGTTACTTTTCCAACATCTTGGCTGAGCTTGATCCGTGGCTGTCCATTTATTTCTACCAACTTGTAGACACATCCCAAGGCTGGCTGACGCTGGCATGTAACTGATCAAGAAACTATTATTATTTATACATAATAAAATAAATAATTACGGTACGTTTATATGTATTAATAAAACCTATTAATTAAATGAAAAATTATAGATATGTTATCAAATCCGTGAGCCCTGGTCATTTAAAACAGACACGTTTTTTTAAAGCGTATATACGTTTCCGCAGAGAATCAAATGATCAATGATTAAACAATCATATTTCATATATATTGTGCGAAATTAACTGCTGTTTTTTATGTTTCTTCTTCATGGAAATTTTCTGTTTTCTTTTAGCTATTCTCATCTGTTTTTTAAACTACATATATTTAAATACTAGGAAGCATTAAAGTTTATAATCCTTGATGTACAAATTGTTGCATCAGTACTGATTTTTATATTTGTCTTGAAGCGCTGGTTTTTTATAAATTAAATTTATATTTTTTTATCTATGCCGTTCAATAAAGACATGAAACTTAATATTCATAAAAAGCGCATTGAAAAATTACAACATATCTTTCTTAAGCAATTTATTTTCAAAGAAAAACGATTGTCGGGATTAATTGTGGACATTATGTACTGGAAAGTCGAAAATAATACATATTAACAATAACGGCTTAATTCAATCCCCGCCCCGCATCGTAACATTTTACAAAAGTATATCTAACTACTTTTCTGTGTTCAAGGTTCCTTGGCAAAATGGATTAAGAAACCCCGGTTTTTTAAAAGTCCGCACCAACAGTTGAGTGAAAAACGCACTTGGTTATTCGTTTCAGTGACTCGTAGGAGTTTTCTTTAGACCAAATACGATAATGTTTTTAATTTCATTAAAATGATTAATTTCACGCTGTTCCTTTCTTTTAAAATACTATGTTACTTAAGAAGAGTTATTAGTTTTTGGCCATTCTTTCGATTGGCATCATAAAAGTAGGGGTGTTATTTTTTTTACATTTAAGTCGGTTCGATTCCCAGACGAGGCAAGTAATTTTTAGAAAATCTTTGAATGCAGAATTACTAACTTTTAAAAATAACATAAAGTCTTCTTTCAGTAAAATACCCTATCTACGATATTTAAGGTACTATCCCTTCATGTATATAACTTTGGGACGTCCTGTATAATTACTGTTGACGTAATCACCAAATAAGAAAATCAAAGAACCCCTATAGCTGTATGTAAGCTGTAAGGTTTTCCTAAATAAATAAATAAATAGTGTCTTTTACAAGTGAAAATGTATAAAAAAACAGTCTCTACATACCTAAATGTGTTCCGATACCAAAACAGTCAATTGCATGACCTTGCTCATGAAGACTTAATATCGTGTCTTCATTTATATCATTTGAGGCGACGATTGTCAGCTTAGCGAACCAGGGCAGGGCGAAAGTTTCAGCTATTTTCTTGAAGGTATCTCTCGCTAATACTGAGAGGTATGCCAAATCACCACTGTCGATTCGAATCCCTACAGCTGTATATCCGCACTCGTGTAATGCCAATGCAACAGCGCAAAAGTTCAGTAAACCGCTCCTATTAAAGAATATTAATTAAAGTCAATTTGTTGTCTATGTGTGTGTGGCTGGTTAAAAGGCCGGCACACAATAACTGTGTGCTGGTTGGGCCTATGTCCTTTTTTAAGGAAATAGAATTTTAAACTGATAAAACAACATCCCCTATATTAATAGACTAGCGGCCCGTCGCGGCTTCGCACGAGGGGACATTTTTTTGTTCTATGATCCATAGTTTTCGCAGCGTCTGCGATAAAATATATTTTATAGGCATTTTTTTACACCTTGGGTATCATTAATATAGTTTTAGAAGGGATCCTTATTTGCTTCAATTTTTTTAAATCGGTCCAATACTTTTTGAGCCAATTCGTTTCAAACATAAGTATGTAATGTCCTCTTTATAATATTAGTATAGATTTAATATAGCGGGTGGATGAATAGTAATTTTTCTATATTGCTTTCTGATCGCCATTTACGAACAGTTAATGTTCGTACCGTAATGTATATGGAATGAAGTAATAATTAAAAATGCATCTTAAATAATAGTATATCGTGATAAAATGTTATAAATTGTAATTAAAACTGTTTTAAATAACACTAAAGGTGCATGGAAAAACGTGCACACGAAAAAAAGGCGACAATTGCAGTGAAATGAATTTTGTGGCATAAAACATGATTAAAAGTCCTTGTATATAATTAAATTTATAAAAAAAACAATGATAACATGTGTAACTGGTGAAATTTTGAGGTGAAATGGAAAAATTATAAGAAACTTGTATAATGAATAAGCAATTCTTGGCTAGTGTATAATGAAATTAACTCGATATTGAAACAAAAATATTATTAATATGTGACTACTAATAAAATAATTATGATCAGTCGAATGAAATAAATATTACATTGTATTATCAAATTTACTCTATTATTACGTGAATACTTAACACATGCATATGAAACATTCAATATCATACTGACCTCACTGATCCATGAATATTTTGTCAATATATTTTGTATGAGTTTTGTGTAGGTCAATGTTATACAGAATGTATGTGCAAACCCTACAATGCAACTGTGCCCAATGATTCTGTCCGAAGGGGACGTGACGTCACACTGAAGCAAAGACCTGGTGCCTTTTTATTTACATCGAAGCGCCGTCTACGCACTTCTGACAACCCTGACCGTGTGCCGTTTGAGATGTGTTATGCCCTCCGATGATAATGAAACTGTTCTGTCTTTAAGTAGAGTTGCAACCTTAAGCATGTGCTACACGGTATGAAACGGCGGTTTGAAACGAAATAAAAGCGAGTTGCGCTTTTCGGCTACACGGTTTAAAACCAACAGTGTCCAAAATAACGTTGCGCTGATAAGACGTCTCCGCGCTCCCGTACCTGACGCACTTTCAGAATTAATTACAACGACATCATGGTGCCTTGCCTAAGTAAACAACAAAAAGTTGGGTCTATAACTTTTAATTTTTCGGCTAAAATATCCCACGCATTTTTTTTCTGAGTCGAGTCTTTATATGACTCGCATGATAAATCCCAAAGACATTGCAATTTTCTGTATGATTCGAGCAATTCAGTAACAACTTCACGTTCACTTGCTTCTTGTGCCATTGTGCAGAACGTCGTCGTCGCGTGCGTCTACCCTCGCCGCCGCAGCACGACTGCCGAACGCGTGGTTTTAAACAAGCGGCTAGACGGTTTCAAACCAACGGTTTTGGTCGCGGTTTGCAACGCAAAGCGTGCTGCCAAGGGCATACCAAGGTTAAACGAAATTTGGCATAAAACAACTATCCACACGGTTTGAAACTTTGGTTTCAAACCGCCGTTTCATACCGTGTAGCACATGCTTTAGTCAAATAGCCAAGACAAGCCATTTCCATTGAAATAAATTGTGGAGGTGGCAACCCTACAGAATGAGCGATAGGTCAATGTTGCATTCATGTTTACCTCAGTGTGCGTTCGACCGTGTATCCACATCTACTACGGATAGCCGGTGTAATACCATTGGTTCCACAGTTGCTATTGTAGCCGGAATGCCCATTCATATGTTGCCTGTGCAAGCCATCAAAGCGGTACCTCTTCACGTCGTAGGTATCGACCAGCGCGAGGAAGCCCGAAGGAAACGCTCGTGCATACGAAATCAAAGCAGCCAGCTCTCCATCGCTGGCTTCTTCGGGAGACGCGTCCAATATTAGCGAGAGCCTGTTACGCCAATCTAAAGATTTCTCTAGAAGATTACATTGCTCTTGTGTTTCGGCGTGTTGCAATGTAACGCATTTTATATCATCAAGTGTACTGAATGACGTCACGAACGAGTGTGCATGCGTCCCCTTTACGGGGATATTGAACATCTTGCCAGCTAAGACATTGCTCGTACCATCGAAACCCCCTGAAAGTTGAATTATAGTTATATCTAACTCTATTTCCTTTATGAATTTCGGCAATAAGAAAATGCTAAAGTTTCACAAACAGTAAGTCGAATTTAACTTACGTACGTTCAGAGTCAAAAAAATAATTTTATAACGTATTAATTGGTTAAAGGCGGTAGTGAGATGCCAATGTGACTTAAATAATTGAAGATCTGTTTATAAGCCTTAGTGACAAAATTCGATTTAAATCGTCATAATCTGTTATGTAAATCATCGTAGACAAATAAAATGTATTACAAATAGCACATACCCAATGTCAAGGGTTATTGTTGCGTGATTAGAACAAATTAATGAAACTATTCGAAACTTTTATGAATGGATAACTCATTCGATCGCGGTATAGAAGTTTAGAAACGGTGCCTGGCACCGCGAGGTTTAGTTTCACAGCAATGTAAGCCGCAGACAACGCTATAGAATCAATAATACGCAAAATTTTCTTTGAGTAATTTTTCAAATTATATGTAACCTATTAACCAATAAATCTAATATTTTTAACAGGAAGTCATAATTTCCAAAATATAATTATAAAACTGTGAAAGGCGCATTTATTCCAGTTGAAAAACATGTTTTGTAAATTTAAATAATATTTTGACCGCGTTACACAGTACGCGACCTTAGCACTTATTTGATAAATTTAAGATATTGTAAAATTGCAATTATTTACCCTTATTTTTGCAAACTAATTTTTGTATTCTGTAATACCAACTAATTCAGCTTTATCAGAAGAGAGAGAATGAGAAACAGTCGAAAGCATATTTTCGTTACAAATGATACTCACCAATATACGAATATTTCGATGCTGAAAGTCCTCCATCCGGTCCCTGTGCCCTTCTCAGTCCAAATTCTAATAAAGAGATATGTTTGCCAGCAAACATTCTGTAGCGAGCTGCATTTGTAGACATAAGACTGCAAAACGTTATCTTAAATGTAAATTAAACTATCCTATCGGATGATTTCTTCCAGAAAAATAATAAAGGGATTTGTACGTGCGAGACTTTCTCTGTATACAAATATAATAGATAACTGGCAAATATAATAGACAAGTGGCGCAGAGCGGCTGCGGAGCCGATGACAAAAATAAAATATAAGAGTTTTTCCTCCAACGTCGATTCTGTTCCTTTTAGAGTAGACTTTTGGGCTGTGGGGTTCAAATGCACAGGCGCTAATTAAAGATTTAAGTTGACGCCTGGTAGATAGTACAGGTGACCCCAGAGTTGGTGCTTTCCTCGCCCAACGAATAAGTATCGCAATACAGCGAGGCAAGGCTGCCAGCGTCAAGGGTACCCCACAAGTACATCACAAGGACAAAACTTTAATTTTGTTTTAATTTTCTATTTATCAATTTTTAATAATAATTATACTATATAGGTGAAGAATATTGTAAATACTGTATATTTGCACGTTGGAAATAAATCTCAGTATATGTCATAGATAACATAGGAGCATATAATAACTTAGGTAGGTAGGTAGGTAGGTAGGTAAAGTATATATAAGATGCACCATTTTGGGATTAAGTAAGCGATTTGAGATTTATTATAACTGATTTGATTTCTTTTCTACGTCTGCCATTAGCAAACAAGCTTCGACTTGGAAATTATAAAGAGTTCTTTCCAATCCAAAACGGTTACTGTAAATTATTACAGTAACCAGTATTTCTTCACTATGCCGTTCCAACTATGAACTTTCATCATACATATGTATTTAATTATTGTTCTTTTTTTACAATAACTTTTCCCATACTTTTATTAAAGTTTAGCACGAAACATTATCATGTTACACAATCATAAAGAACTTAGCACTTATGTCGTAAATGAGGTATAACCTGCACATAGTAATCAACTTGTTTAGCCAAGCGTATCAGATATTGTTATCGATATACTGTATTTAGGGCGCTTTTCAGAATTCTTTTAAATTCCATATAAGAATGACTGTTTTACCATATGACAGCGTATACGTCGTTGTCATGTTCCAAATTGCGATAATTCTCCCAACTTATTTACCTACGACGACCTAGGTCCCATTTCGCATATTTAGACGTATAAAGTAGTATTGATAAAAACGTAAATCATGTAGAACATTTGTTTTGATTTAAGTATCTGAGTTCCGAGCCTAAATTTACGCTATAGGATGTTCCAACATTTATTCTCCTAGTTACTTATTTCGTCTGAATTTTCGCTTTTAAACTTGTCAAATATGTGTGAAGATGATTTGTATATACAATTATCTCTAACAAATACAAATTAAGGTAAGAGTTAATGAAAACATATCGTACAAGCAGCTACTAGATTTTAAAGTATCTCAAATTCTCTGTAAAACAAAATCTCTCTCTCAAAACAAAATTTCTCAATTATACCTTTTTTAATATCTTCAGGTAGGTAAAGTAGTATAAACAAACATATTTTTGATGTCAATTGTCATTCACTTAAGTATTAGCAGAGTATGCACACATATACTATTTAAAGTAAATCTTAATAAATTTAATAACTCCTATACCTTATTACGTACGACGTTCACTCGTAAGCAAGGCGCGACCTTAGCACAAAATTGTTACGCTTAAGGCTCTTTAAACATTTTCGTAAATGTATGAAGACAATATTATGAGTCATGCTTAATTATAGATTGTCATATATATATATGGCTTACCTTGCAAAATTAACCAGGGTCAAAAGAGTTGTCTCTAACAACTGAGCGATTATCAGCGGGCCTTCAACTCTTAATAATGGGACTCTGAAAACAGGACAGACCCAAAGACTACATTTATGACTTTTCGATCGCATCTGTTTCACTGATAAAATATTTGGGCAAGTACATGAACTTTCTGTGTCGCCTAATACGTGAATTATTGTTTCGGCGGGAATCGAACGAATCTTGTGTGTTAACCACTACGAACCGGAAGTGGCTATAATGTCATTAACATAAAAGGCAAATAATCGCAATTGCTTGCTGTAAAAAATTAACATATGTATCTGTTTACAATTCTAGGAAATTGATTATATAATAATCAATACGTAACAGGCATAAATGTTTCTGAGTCATACATCAAGATGTGCAAGTTTATTTTTATTGCATGACGAGATCAATGCGACGTCTAATTTGATGTTGTTTATTTTTAATGACCGCAAAAAGGGAAGTTCATGTACCTATTACAACATACAATTATTGCTCTTAAGTAAATACGCTGTTTATATGAACATAACATAAGTATATGGTAACATCAATATGTTACCATATTCTAAAATACTGTTTAAATAACAAAAATCTATTCTGTAAAATGATGGAACCTATAATCTGAAGCAAATATTTAGCAATTCTTATCTCTATCATAATGAATTTATTGGTTGTGTTTAGTGTTTGGTGTTTTTATACTCTACATTTGAGAAAACTTATTTTTTTCTATCTCCTAATGAGGGTAATTATAATCAATTAAGGATTGTACTTAAATCCTTCTGTTTATATAACTAGCTATAATATAACATTAAACATAATTTGCTAAGTCGACAACTAAGTTTAAAAAATATTGCACAATTACATACCTTGGAAATGCAACAGACCCTTCTTCAATCGCACTTAAAATGATATCCTTACAGGTTAAATCTTTTAAGTAATCAAAAAATGCAGACTCTATTGTTGATGGCAATGTTTGCCTCAAGTAGTCTATATCTGAAAAATAAAGAAATTATAAATTGTTAATTGATGGAAAAGCAATAGGTTAAAATTGTAAAAAGAAAATTTCAGTTTGTATTATAGCTTTAGCTACTAAAGAATATAAAAGTTACTTACCACTTTCAGAGTAATGAAAATTCTGTAAAAACTTTAAGCATTCTTCAAGGCCCGCAAATATAGTAAATTCTCCTTGGAATGGGTTTGTGCGAAAAAATAGGTCAAAGACAGCAACATCATTTACTTTACCAGATTTCCAATATGCATATGCCATTGTTATTTGATAAAGATCTAAAATAATTCATTTTGCTTTATAATATTGTTTTATTTTATTTCAACTGTATTACACCATAGCCTTTTAGCAAAATAAAATAATATTTTTTTAATTAAAGAAACATACAGTTTTAAAATGGTCAACCAACTTGTTTCAGGCTAGATAAACTGTATACTAGCAAGCTAGTACATCATTAAAAATGCTTAAAATTTAGGTAAAGACATATTAATTTAATTATTATATATAAATATTAGAGTTTCAGATATTAAAATACAAGTCAGTTTGTGAATTGAAATTTTATTACTTAAAAGATAAACATCAAAATTTCTCTCTGATTAAAACCAAATTAAAGTAGTCTTAAATATGTATCATAAACAGTTATGTAGTAGGCAATACAGAAACACTTTGATATAAACCACTATTATGGTAAAATGAGATAAAAATAGGATTGATAAGATAAAACTTTTGAGTTTCCTTTGTATGTAACTATTACTTAGCATAAATCATTAAAAGTAAAATATAAATCTCAGTAAAAAAACTTATGAAATATGAAGAAATACTTATCAAATATATAAATAATCAAATAAGCTTTCCTTTCTTAGCCAGTAATTTTTAAACTTAGATTGGAGTTTTTAAGTCCATTATCTCACCAAGAAAACATTAAGCATATAATTTATTGGGGTCACTTGAGTTTACTTGATGTTGCTAGTTTGAAACATTAGTTTCACGCAGTGCATCGTATTAATAAAAAAAATTACATTTTATAGAAATTCAAATAAAAACTTCAAATCTTACCAGTAAGCAGAGGTTGAACGATTCCGTTTTGCCTGGCCATAGTTTTATCATCCAATGAAACATTAGACATTCTGCTTGTGTAAGGAAATTATTTCTTTCTTATTAACGAAACAAGCGTGATTAATGTTCAATATCTGTCGAGCGACTAATAGATGAAACAATAAAAACATCGTGATCAAACGACCTTAGATACCTACCCTTATCACCGCGCCAAACACTACTTGAATTGATATTTGATAGGAATTAGGAGATAGAATGCAACTTGTGACAATTGACATACCATCATTGTCAGTTGTCATTGTCAGTTACAAACAACACAGGAAGGGACAAGATTGATGATTTATATTTTTATAGTTTTGTATAAAACAAATAAGAATTAAATAACATAAATGTATGAGATAAACCGCTAAATGTTTTTTGTAATATAGATAAATAATTGATAATAATTTAAGATTAAAGGTAGGGAAATGACAAACGTTAATGAAGTTAAATATGTACAAACTAGATTGCGCTGTATTAAAATAAGAAAAAAATAATTTTGGAGAAGGTCTTCCAATCGAGAAGGATTAGCCTTGACCACCCAAAACATTGACTGGCTAGCCCGAAGGACCTAATGGCTGAAGTCGAGATGTTACCTAGTATGATATAAAATTTAAAGAAACGCTGTGGCAGCCGATAGCGCGATTCAGGTTAGATTATCGTCGCGTCGCGTCATTTGCTGATTGTAGCCCCAGATTGTAGGTGTCGCTACGTAAGTTTTTAAATGTGCTGTGTTACTTTTTTTGTAAGTTTGATGGACACAACAGTAAAGAGGTCATAAAAGTATCTTAAAACTTGATTTAAGGCCTTAAATAGTACTTCTAATATGACTCTTGTTACCAATAATTATTTATTAATTCTTAGAATTCTTATAAATTGTAATAGGTGTTAATTTTTGTTCTACACAAGTTTTATTCTGTCTATATAGTTTAAGGAACACCGTTATTAAGTATTATTATACCCCCTAGATCTGAATCGAGTATATTTTTACGGGTACATAATACTTGGGTTTAATAAAAACTTTGCTCTAAATAACATTATTTTATTCCTAGTTTAGTGACGAGTTGTCAGTTTTAGTCAGTAAAGCCAGTGGGCGATCTCTTCCTGGATGCTTATGTTCATAATGGAGATGAATTCCTCTCCTTGTTACAAATTTTTCTATACAATATATACAGTGATATGGCTTAATACCTGTATGTTGATACATATGGTACTGAAAGCAAAAATGGCATCGTAAATTATATATCAAATTCAAACTAATTAAGTAGCTATATTTCAGTTAGAAATAAAATATAGATTCTACTCACTGTAAAATTTTCCTTTTGATTAAATGTATGGGAACAAATACGACACTTGTATTTGGAGTTATAATTGATGTCTTCGTCAACATTAGATTTTCCGATTTGTACGACTTCCCTTTCTTCAGGCTCCTGCATCGGGTGCATTCTTATTTTGTGTGAATAACAGTTGCCCGAACTAGTAAAGCGCTTGTCACATTTTGGACATTTAAATGGTCGCTCTCCAGTGTGTTTATTACAATGAAACTGAAAAATTTATTCTTGTATTTTTATAAATAAAAAAAAATACAAAAAATAAATAAAAGGTCTATCTATTTCTTCTGAATCATGTCAATTTTTTTTAAGATCTAATAAAATAAATATTAAATAACATACTCGCAACTCTTGACGCCTTTTAAATCTTTTCTTGCACTCCGTGCATTGAAAAGGTTTTTCGTTACTATGTGAAATCATATGATTTTTCAAACTGTTCTTCGTAGAATATGAACGCCCACAGTAGTTACACGTAAAGAGACTTTTGTTTGAACTATGCATTTCCATATGTAATTTTAAATTCCGATCTGTTCTGAATCTAAAAAAATAGTATATTACGTATAATAATAAAATTATGGGTTTTTATTAAATAATGGATATATGGAGGCAAATATGAGCAACGCTGATTTGATAAGAGACTGGTTCAAAGATTACCACAAAAGTTTTGTATCAAATTGACTGCGCTAATAAGTTAGTTCAGTAGTATACGGTGCACTAAGTTTTGCGATGACTTTATTTTTATCCTATTATGGTTTGTTTTAAATTTATGTATTTTTTACTTACGTTCGCTTACACGTAGGACAATACCGTGCATGTTTATGTTCCTTAAAATGCGCCAAGAAATCATTCTTTACATAAAAGATTTTATCACAAATTGTACAGAAATAGGTTTGGTCTGTACCAGGTGACGCATGTAACCAGGCGTGGTTCTTAAGGGCAAACTCCGTTAGAAATTTCCTTCGACATAAATTGCAAGCAAAAGGTTTTTCGCTTGCTTCTTTTGGATCAGAGGTTGCGGCTTTACCCTTATTACGAGTAAGGGTTACATTTTCTCCATCCGCTCCATGTAAGTACGTTATCTCTGCGAATTCTGGAGTAACATCTGTTGTTACCGTCGTTGATATTTGCTTTTTGGTGCCTTGAAATGTTATGTTCGTTATTTGAGGCATCTGTAATTTTTTAATCTTTTCGATGTTTTTAAGATGTTCATAAAGCGTGCTACTTTGTAAAAGGGTCTCTTGCGCCTCACGAGTTCTATCAATAAATTCACATACTTCTTGCAATTGTTTGCAACACTGGGTACAAATGATTTTCGGTAATATATCATCTTCATCAACCTGTAAATAAAAATATTTTTTTAAATATTTTTTTTACTATTACCTATGAGCAGTCTTTCTAACTTTTCAAATCTCGAATCGCAAACCTAATTTATTCAATTTATCTACATCTATCTAAACTATAATAATAGCTGAAATATATTAAATTGTCTTATAATAACAATTTTTTTATATTAGCATCAAAATTTACTGAGATTATTAGAGCCTAAACAAAAAGTTTCTTGATTAAAAGTGGAGTTATTGTCATTTAGGAACAAGTGATTACGAATTTGTCAGCGTGAAAGAGGTATTTTGCCAGATTTTTTAAATTGTAATAGATGAAGTCGTATGCCCATGCCCATGTAGCGGTTTACGTAGTTCAATAGAAGTAGCATGAACGCATTATATTTCTATTGCTGCGCGAACGGTGCAGCGCAGGGATTTTTGGCCTGTAGTTTTTCTCGGTTTTGTTGCTAAGGCCTGTATAATATATGAATTAGTAACTATAGTAACTATACTTATTATTGATGATATTACCATATAAAATTTACCAATGTTAAATTTTACTAATTATATTTTATACTGATATTTTTAGAAAAACGAATTTAATATTATTAATTTAATTAGAGCGATACGCACCTCTAGCAGCAAATACTTATTCAACTTGCTTTGGAGTTCCAAAGAAGCTGTTTCTGCGCCGAATATCATTATCGAAGCTTCTTGTTGTTTCGCACACAGTCTGCAACGCTTTTCAAATGAATCCATTTAGACATTCAATTATTCCATGTATTGCAGATTTATTATGGCGCTCTGACGCGCTGCTTCCTTCGTTATGTGTAGTCGCGCATGCGCGCTGGGGCCGGTGCTATTGACAATATTATGCTGGTAAAAGGTACTGCGCAAACTCTAACCTTTTACATGCCTTTTACAAAGCTACGGCGCAACGCCCAATAATTCTTGAACTTTTGTATGCAGTTAGGTTTTATAATGTTTTGCACTTTGCTTAATTTAACGCCTCACAATAATTTGTCGTAACAGTATTATATTCTAGTTACTAAGATTATATATTATATCAAAAGTTTTAACGTCGAATTAATTTTAAGTACAAGTATTACATTCTTCTGTACGTCTGAAAGTCTTTTCGATCAATTTTCTTCTTCCTCGTAATTAGCTACTATATTATTATTATTTTCTAGATCTACATTTTACTTTAATTTAGTTATAGGTAGAATTGTATTATTTTTTGTTAATTATTTATGCACTTCCTGTACTTCACCTTCTGTAGGTCTTTTTTTATTGTTCCATATTAGGGTTGCCTGGAAGTAATCGCTCGCTAGTGCCGCCCGTTGCCTAAAAGCTTATGTAACCTGCTTTTTTATATGTATGTTTTTGTATAAGGTAATTGTGAAAAAATAAATAAATAAGTCTGATGAAAGCAATTTTAGGTTAATATTAGGTATTGCATAAGAATAAATTTGTATAGTGCGGCGAATTGTGGACGAAAACTATTAAATACATTCTGATTAGGTTATTATTTTTGATTCTTTATACCGATAAAGAGTACATAACACTCGGTGACGGAAAACATCGTGAGGACACCATGCCTTAGATCCAAACATCGACGGCGTGTGTCTGGTCTGGTACACGAGGCTAATCACATTAGAAAAAACAAGTGATCCCTGGGGTCGATCCCTGGCCATGCACCAACGGACTTTCTGTCTGTGCATTCAACACTAGCTCGAATGATAAAGGAAAACATCGTGAGGGAACCGGCATACCCAAAAAGTCGACGGTGTGTGATAGACACAGAAGGATGATCACCTACTTGTCAGAGAAATCGTAGCGACACTGGATTTTTTCTGTATACCGACAATAATCTAAATAGGTATCTATTTCACTTATTTACCAATGTACAGCTTATATCTATAAGGTTTAGTAATTTGACGACTCATTGGTCTAGTGGTTAGTACCCCTGACTGCGAAACCATGGGTCCCGAGTTCGATCCCCGGCTGAGACGAACATCGATGTGATGAGCATTTGATGTTGTGCTTAGGTCTTGGGTGTTTAAATATGTATTTATATGTCTATCTATGTATAATATGTATGTATATCCGTTGCCTAGTACCCATAACACAAGCTTCACCAGCTTAGCATGGGACTAGGTCAATTGGTGTGAATTGTCTTTAAAAAAAAAAAAAAATAGTTGGACATAATTCATTACAAATAATTCCATTACGGAAAAAGTGCAAAGTGAAATAAGGAATGAATGGATAAGGATACTATTAAAAAAAATCTCATGTATGTTATAATATTAGAAATACACTAATAGGTATGGCAGATCTCCTTTAGAGTTAATTTTATAGAAATAATTATGTATAATTAACATATTAAATCATATTTTTTATTCATATCGTGAGTTATGTAACTTAACATTAGTTATGTTTCATATATATAATTAGAAGCGTAAACCAAATGTTAGCAAGTATCGCACACTTGAAGCTAAAATGAGCCCTTTAGTTTTTCCCACACTCACAAATTGTAATATAACATTCTCGTTTCTGATAATGTCCAATAGGTCGACTACACTTATATTGAAGTGTCACTTAGATTATACACTTATATAATAAGCCAAGTTAGTTTTTTTAATCCAGCATTGCAATCTCACCACCCCTAATATGTTATAAGCTCATGTATAAAACAATTAGTTGACACCCAGCTTCGAACAAAGAGTTTCATTTAACATACATTCGAACATCCCTCCTACAACCACCACCGAACTTAGGGAGCGTTCAAGTATTACGTCACGCAATTTTTGGAGATTATTGACAAACCCCTCCCCCCATGTAACGCGCCGCAACGTTTTTCTGTACCCAAGTATAGTAAAACGATTCGTGACCACCTAGTGACTCTTTATACCTAAAAGTTACCATTATGTGGTGTAAAGTACTGGAAAGTGGAAAATAATATTAAAAATAACGCGTAATTCAATCCCCGCCCCGCATCGTAACGTTTTACAAAAAGACCCCCTCCCCCAAAATTCGTTACGTAATACTTGAACGCTTCCTTAACTCGTGTTTCAATGGAACTTTATTTATACGCATTAAGACTTATGGTAGGCTCCAGTTGTAAAAACTATTAAAAGAGCCCTATAAGCATATAACGCCGCGTTTGATTTAAAGCAGAATAACATGAAGAGCTTAAAGTGGAAGCCTTTCTAGTGCTTAGTTGTCATTGTCTTGGGTTCTGTAGTACCTGTCACATACTACAAAAATCTGTTTGTAACTACTGCTTAATTTATGCAATAACAGTGGCAAGTCCATATTAAATCTAATTTGTTCTGAGCTACTTACTAATTTCATGGGTTTGAAACCCATAACTCTTTTCAAGAAATTTGTTTAAAAGGTGCTTCTGAGAAAATGTACATTTAGCCTTTGTATGCACGTACGCAAAGGAGCTTCTCCTTAACGTTAGATCGATTTTGATAATTTGACCAAATGCTACCCGACTAGGTTAATAAGGTGTGTGTGTAACATATTGTAATATGGTGATGTTATTTATAAATTGTAATATGTCTAACGATTTTAGAAATATGCATACAAATAAGTATTAGTTAGAAAACATTTCTGTGTTAAATTGGATATAACTAAATGTAATTACGATTAGTCTATACCATTATGTAAATGTAAAATTCATCGTAAAATGTAACGTTCATAAGTGTACATTGTGTTACCTTTATGAATAAATGATTTTTGAATTTTGAACTTGTATTTTTTTATAGTACCTACTGCTGATACATTCGGAAGAACTGCATCGAGATAATACCTATAATAATCATAGAAATAAAAAATATTCTGTATTGTAATTTTGTCACTTCGAAAAGTTAATGGGTTTTCAGATATACCTAATATTAGTCAGTATCAGATATAGCCGTCTTGACTTCAAACTTATTAATAAATATAGAAGCTACAAAATTTCGATATTTTTAAAAAGCTTACTTTTAGTAATTAATTAAATCACAATCAGCGTACCTACATACATACCAGTTTTAAAATATAATATGTATAAGAATTATAACAGATAAAGCAAGTGAACGGAATCCTAAAAAACATGTCCTCGTAGTTTCAATGGAAAGAAGTAAATGCTGATCCACTTGTAAATTAAAAATACCTGATAGTTTATGGGAACGGACGTCGATTTAGACGGGTTGAAAAGGTTTTGCTGGTCGCATTGTTGAAAAGGAGCAATGAAGGATAAGCATTGAGTAGGCGCACCGCAGTTCGTGCAGGTAGGAGCAGGGCGAAGGCGGGTTGAGGGGCAACGAAGACCGGTCTTCGCGGGAGGAGCGGGCGGAGGTGCGCGTGGGCAGGAGACGCGCGGAGCGCGGGGCGTGCGTCATTGGCCAGTCGCGCACCGAGCGCTATACTACAAGAACGTCGGGTGGCGCCGCGCCGGCCCGTAACGTGCGAGTGTTGTGTCACAGCGGTGGGCCAGGTCGGTTTCGATAATTTTTCGTTCCGACGACACAATGGCCCTTAATTCGGACGAACAGAAATCGAACCTGGTCCTCCGCGTGGATCAGGATTCTGACTCGGTTTTACAATCGTTGTTCGACACTGTGCTCAAGCCGGACTCGAAACGACCGCTACAGGTGCCTCTGCGTATGCGACAGCTTCCAAAGTCGTTCTTTAACCCGCCGTCGACCGGTTCTAAGTCGCCATCTGTGTCTCACTCGCGAGAAAACTCGGCTGACTCCGCGTTCGGGTCGTCGTCTGCGACGGGATCTGCACCGGTCTCTCACTCTCGTGCGCACTCCTCACCTGCCAGCTTGCAGCAGACCTATGCAGCTGGACAGCAAAACCAGCAGCCGCCTCTACACCATCAACACACCAAGCAAAGATCATATGATGTTGGATCTCACTTACCAGATGAACTAGGCCCGCTTCCAGCAGGATGGGAACAAGCGAGAACGCCGGAGGGGCAAATATATTATCTTAAGTAAGTCTTTTGAATTTGTGAAGTACATTATTTTTAGTACCTATGTTCTATTTTTCTAAACAGGTGAGGCCAAGACCCATTTGGGCTGTAGCGCCATTGGATGTATGTATATTATATTTCTCATATTTTGATACTGTTTCCTACATATAGAACAATAATAGTACCAAAGGTATATAACAAGGTATATAATATAACTGAACTACTATCTATGGTCTTCGGTTTTAACACTTAGTTGATTCTAATATAACATATCAACTCTTTTGTATCAATTGCTAGTAGTATTGTAGATCTGACCTACAATCATGACAAACTTTGAACTTAAACAAGGGTAAATCATTTCACTCATCCACGGCAGTGAATGGAAGCCTTACAAATGACAATAATATTGTGTTTCAGTTGCGACGCCGTAATAGATTAAAAACCAGGAATTTATAATTTTATCCTGCCATTCAAAGATGATTTAGCGTGTGGTCAAACTATATCTGTTTGGTGTAGTAAAGTTTGGGAGATCGTAATTGTAAGTCGATCTTCAATTCATGTATCCCCGTACTATTTCTTAAAAGTATAGGCTTGGAGTCTTATCCTTGTGTAATTTGTTTTTCGTATCTAGTGGGTTGTGAGGTGTCCCTATTAGTCAAAACACAAAGCGCATAGAGTGGCTTGAGCGGGCTTAATTTTTTTTATATACTTCATACGTGTAAAAAGAATAGTTTCTGAAAGTACTCTTATACATATTCTTTTTATGTAATTAATTACAAAACGTAAACGATCTCTCTTATAATGAAAATCAACACGTTCACTCTGTTATCCGGGTTCAATTTGATAAATTTAGTTCGTTAGATAACAGTGCTTGAAAGTTTTTAAATTTTATATTGATCAATTGAAGAAAGTAATTTGGCGTATATTAACGATATTTAACTACATATAGTAGGCACTACGCTTATCATGTTTAACGATTTAGGAATTATTGAAATCCCACATTATTACGTTCAGCGTATCAATGCGGTCAATGGTTTACAATAACGGACTTGTGACGTTATTTAAAAGGTGATAATGTGGAGGCGCCAACTAAATTATAATTGAAAATTTTAGAAAGAGCACGGTTATCCCTTATCAATCCTTATCTACTGCTTCATGTTGAAAACATAGTCGTCATTTGTTATCTTATCATGATCGTATACCTTTCGTCGATGCTTAACAATGAGTATAATACACCTTGTAAAGTGACTCATAAAATTAACAGAACAAAGTTGAATGTAGATTGTTGGCTATTTCTCTAAACAACTTTTTTGTTTTTGTCTTTTTTTAATCGTTTTGACTGATTTTAGTTACAGCATTGTTAAATTATTCATTTATAATATGATATTACGTTATATAATTCTGTATGAAATATAAATTGGTTCCATCTTGTTCAGCTGAAATCGTAACGATGATAATATGCTGTAACGATCGTGGGCTGGCGCCATTGCCATTATTGTTCAACTTGTTTGCGTTTCTTACATACAGAATATTGGAACTCTTTGATTATATTATAATTTAATAGTTTTGGTACATTTTCGGAAATAAACATTAAGGGGTAGTTACGTTTAGTTAATGAGAGTTCGTTACTGTTAACTTTATCGTAATGAGCTCCTATGCAAGAATTGAAATGTTACTCATTATATATGGTAATTTTTTAAATAATTATTAATGTCTGAAATACTTAATTTTGGAAAATAAATAATTATATACTGAGAGTGAGTGTTCAGAGGAGTTCTTCGGATTAATACCGGCAGATGAGTTTCATCGTCGGACATCGAGGCCAAATACGCACCTATCTGGAACCAGCTACCCTGAAGTATTTCCGAACCAATTCGACTTAGGGTCCTTTAAGAAATCGTACCAATTCTTAAAAGTACGGCTTGGTAAGGTTTGGGTTGACTTTCGTTGGAATTATGTAATTCGACTGCAAATTGATCTGGTTTTAGGTGCTGTAGTTATATTATATTGTTTGTTTATTTGCTAACAAAGTTAGTTACCGTGTCGGATCTCAACACCAAGCCGTTCGTCTACTCGTGGAAGACAGCCAATACGACATCAAAGCTTCACTCACATCATAAATAAATTTAACCGACATAATATTCATCAAACCTAATATTATTCTATTTAATATTGTTAAAGTCGTTTCTAAGCTTAATGACTCTTAAAAATTGCTAGTAATTGGCGCAAATGTATTATGTTTTGTGAATGACATTAAATGAGAAAAATATTTATATCACCTATTAAACAAGAAAGCATGTTTTCATACTTTAGATACAAGACTTTCAACTGCAAGAAAATATTAAAATAACAGAAAGTAACAGATTCAAACGAGATCTCGCAGTTTCTGGTTTAGAAAGACTAGTCGTTAGCAAACACGTAGGCAAGCAAACCTGTCGTTCATAAATTTTCTTGCAAAATTATGTTATTTCAATATCCAAAACATCAATTTAAACGCTTGGTTCTGCTTGCCAAATGTCTACACACAGCACAGCGATGGAGCATTGCAACTGGTGCGTCTCTTCCGTGTCGGTAAATAGACGCGCGCATCGTTTCTTAATTGCTAGCCGGACCGATGTTTTATAATCTCCATAACGTCCAGCGAACGTCTTGCTAGCAAAATGTTTGCTTTAATTATTATTGGAATGGAGGGTAATTCTCTGTGGTTTTGTTCGGCTAGACTTGGCGATGTTCCGAAATGGGTAGCGATGCAAATTACCTTGGCGATCGCCCAAGACGGCGCTATCGGTCGGTAGCTAGTGTAACACCTTATTGGTTAGAGTTTACCTTCGCCCTTATTTCTTTAATGGTCAAAATTTATAAATAAATAAAACGGTTTTTTTGCAAAGAAAGTGGTACATTCAGATTGATTAATTATAAAAAATCAGCACAATCAGCCATATAAAAGGCATGCAAATGCAATTAAAATAAGAACAGTTAAGTTATTTATAATTGTTGTCAAAACTTTTGGTCTAAATACTCTCCCAATCTGTAAAGACCTTGCCTTAATTTAAAATAAAAATAAAATTGTTTTTTTTAAATTTTATATCGGTAAAGTATAAATTCGCATTTCGCACCTGTTCATCTCAGTTAAACTTTTACCTGTCTTAATCATGTTTTCTAAATATTATTCCATGAACAATTGTATGAAGAAAACACTATAGGTAGGTACACTATATTTGGTACACGCATCTGAAAATATTTCCTTTTAAGTTTCGTTTCTTGAATCTTTAATCAGCCGAACTTGTCACATTGAATACAAATAATAATGTATCTTCATTCGAAATGCACGTGGGTTCATTCACCTTTTAATAAAACATATTCATGTTTATATTATTTCTAAAATTATTTTGATTTTATATCGAAACGTATAAATATAATAATTTATTTATATGGATCGGACTATGAAATAATTTGATAACTTCCGTTTTAATCAAGGTTTTTAATTTTATACTTCTTATTTTTTTTATTGAGATGCAACTATTGTCTCATCATCGTTTTGAATACGACTGAAAATGATAAGTTTTTTTACAAGGGCAGTTTGCAATTGTTTCACATATCTTAGAAGTTTACTGAACCAGTCTTATCGCAGTCGGCTGTGTATTCAAAGCGATAACATTTGAAATACATCTTCTTAGAAGTAGTCAAGTCGCAAGAGACGACAGGTAAAATCTAACGGAACATTACCCAGAAGATTCGTTGTCAGGACAAATGCATTTCTATAGAACTGTATTACGTAAATGCGGTTAAACGACGCTTATAACCTCATTTAATTAGGTTTGTTTATCAACAATTAATTTTAATTAGTTGTACCGTGTACGTGAGTAGGTTTTTCTCAAATCGCACTAACACATACATACATAACCTTTTCTTAGGCTTTGTTTTCGTCAAACTTCTTGTGTACTGTAGGATTGGAGTTTAAAGGTGTTCGAGCTAAGCGCATGATTAGACTGACACATATTAAACAATTATCAAAGCTTTATTTACGAAATAAAAAAGTTATTGTGCTCAAATCGATTAGATCATAAATACCATAAATACTGAAACAAAGAAAAAAACATTTTTTTATTTTTACAGTGTTAGTTTAATACATAAATATAAAACAATTTTAAATATAAAAAAGCTTATTCGATGTGATCCTAAATGGCTGCAATACAGTCCTTGAAACGTTGAGGCCAGATATCAATAGAAGCACGCACTCTTTCCATGGGAATTTTTTTTACTGACAATATAACGGATTGTTTTAGGGACTCCAAATTATCATAGCGTTTAGAGGAAGCCGTACTCTCTAAAACTGACCATAAATGAGAAAACTCAATGAACAATCATATAAAAATGACAGATTCCAAATTTAAATGTAATATATTGTTTATTTTTAATATTGTAAATAGTATTGTATTGATTAATATTTATTGATTAATATGTAAATAGTATTGATTAATAATTAGATTGATGCTTTGTTATACAAATTATTATAAGTTTTAACTAAATCAAACTATTATTTAAGCATCACACCATAAATGTTTCAACACTCGATTTTGCTTACGTAGCCACTAAATAAAATATTGTGACACTATTTCCTTTTACATTAAGAGCAGTAAATGTTATACCAACGTGTGAAAGGCTATTATGCACCTTATAACTCTGCTTTACACTAGGTTTTTGTACGCAACATGTGGATGAAAAAGAACATAGGTACTCAGTTTCCACGCTCTGATTACTGGATGTTGGCTCGAGACATTGTCTTTATCGGAATCGATCAGAAACTATATATACAATGCAGGAAATCTCTTGTTATAGTGGGTCTTAAAGTGTATTATTAATAGGTAGGCTGTTATTAAAAAAAACACCAGCTGAGAACACGCCAAAAATTTAAACATTTAATCCATCTTTAAACGGTTTAAAAAAATATTTTCCCATCTGAAGATCATTTAGATTACGCCTCATCTTCTATCCTCTCATTAGGAGATAAGCCCGCAATTGGCA